TTATTAACCATCAATTTTACAATACAGTAATAACATTTGAATAGTTTTCTTGGAAACTAATTTTTTCCTCATATAAAATAAAATACAACTATATATACACAAATGTATTTGTAGATATCTACTATTCAGTAGAATTCATACATAAATTATTATTGTGATTATTCTTTTCGTTTAAAAATTATATTATATTGTATTTGTTTTTATTTTTTATATCATCTGTGTGATATGAATGCATGTTTGTAGTTATTCGTAAATATTGTATTAATAAACGTATTTTTTTAAATAATCAAATAGGTAGCGATATTATATTCAAGTATGTCGTGTACTGTGTGTACACATTTTGTACGTTCTTTGACTACACGAATAGTTTAATTGATAAAAATAAATATCCTAAGGGTGGTTATCACGAACATGATTAAGTGCTTTTGTGGCCAGTGGTGCAACTAGAAAAAAATTTTGGGGGGGGGTTACAATGTTACATTACTACAATATACATATAAGCTAAAATTCTGTCTGGTTAATAATATTACATAATTAATGTTAATATAACACTGTATAAATTTCTCAATTAGTATTGCCATATATATAATATTATTATATATTACAAGAAATAAAACAATAAACGTCGTATTTATAAAAAAAAAAAAAACAAAAAACACTTATAAATTAATATTGAGTCTTCGTTTTGAAGTTATAGCCATTTTATCAATTATCATCGATGTATCAACATAAATATCCTGGTGTATATTGAGAACTGCCAATCCTTTTAGTCTTTTAGTCTCAGTATCTTTCCAAATAGATATTTCATTAAGTGCATCCACAACTGCAGGTTGAAGTTCATGAAACACAAGTACAGCGTCATGGCACTCAACTCACCTTGTAGGGAAAATTTTTTTTAGTTTTTTCAATTTTGATTCATGTAATTCATTTTAAATTGATATTTTAAATATATTTTGCCTTTTAGGATAGCCAAAAAAGTTACCTATAGATTGCATTGTGCCTATACAGTTTCGAATATCAGTTACATTGCAACTAAATGAAATAGCCAAGTTTAGGCTATGTGCTCCACAGTAGATATATAAATTTATCATTGATATGTTTTTGTGTTGCATTAAATTTCCCAGACATAGCCGCCGCTCCATCGTAGCCTTGTCCAATTAAATCATTCAATTCGAGTCCCATAATTTCAAGAATTTTAAGTATTGTTTGTGCTAATGCTTTGCCACTTACATCAGTAACTTCCACAAATTGTAAAACTTCTTCTCTTATTTTTTTTGTTCTAAATGAACATAACGGACCAAGATGGTAAGCTGATCTTTATTGGAGATATCACTGGTCATGATGGGTGATGATCCAACCACGTCAGGCATACCGAAGAGAGGGAGTACTGTGATTATGTTTCACCACAGTAATAACTAATAATATAATTTTAATAAGTTCTAAGAAAACGTTTTGAATTGAAATCACTGCTGTATTATATAGGTTACTATACTAGGCCTCGGAGAAATTTCAGGGGGGAGGGGGTCACAACCCCTTAACCCCCTTCTGGTTGCGCCACTGTTCGTGGCAGTCCAACACCAAATTTAAATCGTACCGTTAATCTATAGAAAAATTATTGTATAATATTTTCATTTGAACTTTAATGTTTTCAGTGCACGGATACCAAAAAATTAGAAATATTTGTTAAAATACAAAAACCCTTAGTATTTGTTCTTTGTCAAGTTAGATTTCTAGAAATTTAAAAAATGTGAAAACAATAAATAATGGCATTCTAAAAATTATTCTGAGTGGAAGTTGACAAAACGTATTAATATGTTGAATATTTATCTCAAACGGTTGTAGTTCAAATATATCACGTATTAATCAAGTAATTACGTGATTTTACTTAAGTTTTAAGTTTAAAAATACTGAATTAAAAGACCATTGCATCTAAAAAAAAAAAATACGCTTAACAAAAACGCACGATTCATATTCATCGCTAATAATAATGAAAAGTTATTTCATATTACAATTTTCAATTGAAAACGGTAAAAATATTTATAAGTTTATAGTAATAACTTGACCGGACCAAATATTATGATTTATTAATTTTTTTTGTTAATAGCGCTTTATCTAGAGCTTTTATTGCATTTTTTAGCTATAAAATATATAATTACATAGATACAAATATATTTTATTTAACATAATTTATAAAATACTTTTGTTCTAAAACATTTATTTCGTATGTTTTCGGTTTTTCATCAAAGTTAAAAGCATTTCTGCGGAATAGTGAACAGTAAATTTGATTTTTAATTTGTATTACCTGCGCAGTACAATTTATGATCTAATGAGATATTATGTGAAACTTTTGACACAATTTTACAGTCCAAAAATATGTTTAAAGAAATGATAAAAAGTCCTTATTCTATTTTCTTGAGATTTTATAATTACTTTCATCATAAAACTATTTAACTGTTTAAGAATATTTAATTATTAAATTTTTTTTAAGATGTAATCCTTATCAATTATTGCTCAAAATGTTTTTATATTAATAAAATCATAAAAATAATTAATTGTAAGATATGAGAGATTTCTAGAGAACTAGACTTATTTAATTATTAAAGTGTCCTTATTATTCATTAGTTCGATGGGTTAATGAATTAAATACACGTAACTTAAGTAACAAGTTAAATTTGACTAAATAAAAAAACTACATAAATTACAATCTCTTTTTTTTTTATACATTTTTTTATCGTATTTAGGTATTATACATTTCAGTATAATATATCATCGACATGGTTCGACCTCAATCTCTGAAAAAATGAAAATTTATTTGTCGACAATTTGATACTTAATAAATAGAACTAACAAATATTCTACTTATTTTGCTTGTAATGTTATTCGTAGAATAAAATGAAAACATTGTAATACGTAATAAGTGTTTAAAATGTCGAAGAGCGATAGACAATGCCCCTTGTTAATACTATATGTTATTGGAAAATAGGCAGAGAAGTATTTAGAGTTTTGATGCCCCAGGTAAAGTTTTATTACCACCCCTACACACGTTTTATACGATTTTTTCAAGAAAGATAATATTTATTATCTGCGGATTTTACGCGGTTAATTTTTGATAATATTATCATGAAAATAAAAATTTCCGTATAGTCGCTATACAAAATCATAAAATAGTAACATTTTTTGATTGGCGAATGAAAATAGATGATGGATTATGGTTACAAAAAAATGCTTCCACCACAAAATTCCAAAAAAATGTGTCACCCGGGGCGATGGTACCCCTCACCCCCTAAATACGTCCTTGAAAATAGGTCTAAATTAAAGGACTCCTACACGAGTCTATTCGACTTGTTCAATTCTGGTCCTCAAAAATAATACTCCAAAAATTAAGTTTGATACGATGCAAGTACCTACTACTATTATTAAATTATAAAACGATTTAATTTTTAATCTTGAAAATTACACACGTATGTTACGAACTGCGAATTCGATTTTTCACAAATACACGATTGTTTTTGAACTACGTTTTCCGAGTAAACAGGAAAAAGCAATAAATGTATCACTAAACGACGAAAAAAAAAAGTATTTATAATTAATTCATCATCTTTGACAATAGATCGATCAACATAACAGTTTTGAATCCTAACAAGAAACTTAATACATGTACAAAAAAAATAATTACATTTCAATATTAGAAAATGATTATTTGAACAATAAATAATACAGAGTACGTTGTCATTAAAACATATAAACATCCATAATAAAATATACATATTTATAAACTAAAATTTTAAATTCGTATTAATTAAATTAACAATAAAATACAATAAATGCTCAAGCTTATTTATTTATCTTACCCAATGACATTCTAAGTTAGCCTGCCATGTACAAGTCTTACACAATATGGTAAAGTTTTAATAATTTAAAATAATTATAATAATAATTTTAAGTAAAACATGTCATGTAATATTATCAATAGTTCGTAGTGCATGTGAAAATTATTAATAACCTAACTAGTTTTTAATTTGATAATGAACTCAATACGTAACATTTTACTAACTATAACAACCTATCAAATAGCTAACCTATTCTTTATTCGCCATAAACCACTATTAACAAATCTATTAATCTTACTTAGTGATGCTAATGACTAATTCTAATGACTACAGAACCATTTTCTTTCTTTTTCCCATATACATGCCTCCTTCCAACTTCACCACGTACATGAATATGAATTAGCATAATAACAATACAACTATAGAAATTAATACCTTAACATTACACCATTACTACTTAACTATATATAAATAACTAGAATATGGCATTATAATTATGCGTGATTTTGATTAGAGTCATTGACTATAGTAATCGTGGAATATATTGATTACGTACGCTATGTACATAGATTTCAATGAGCATTGTCGAGTCGCTAAATTTTTTAATTTTCTATTCTACACTCGTTAACTACTCGCTCATACACGTCACGAGTTATACAACGAATAGACGCGTAACTAATGAACTAGGTACTTTTTTTTTCTTAAGGCTAGTTCAGACTATACCAGTAATTTAGTCGAGTGATAAGTGATTTACTAACTACTAAACAGTTTAGTAACTGAAAAGTATTCAGACACAACTAGAGTTTAAAACTGTTTTAGTACATTAGTAGTCGTTTTGGTGCTGAGAAAAATGATATATTTATAAATTATATATATTATATATGTATTTATATTTTAATGTTTGACATAAAAATATAGCTATAATTTTTAAATTACTCAACCACAAAACAACAAAAATTTCTCAAAACGTTAATAAATAAAATTATATTATATTTCAAATGATTATTTCGAGACATCTCTCGATTATAAAAATGTCTCGAATACTAATATTTCGATTATTGAAATCAATCGATTATGCCCATCACTAGTTCAGACTCAAAACTAGCTTATTTAGTTATCAATCGGAAAAGAGGGGGCGGTACTACTCGACCAAAAAAATAGAATAGAATGGATTGACTAAACTAAATTATTTTACTAAGCTACTCGACTAAATCGACCTGTTCATACATGATTAGTTACTAAAATACTTGTTGCTTGACTAAATTACTGGCATAGTCTGAACTAGCCTTTAACAAAAAAATCCATAAAAGTGGTTTTCCTATTCTCTAAGACGTGGGGACTTGAACCGGATGGGGTGTCTCTTGAACTCTAGAGAACACTTTGGTGCCGAACCTAAAAGCCGCACCGAACGGAAACTTGATGTTGATCCACACAGAAAACCTCAAGTTGTAGTTCAACAACGGTCGAAATATGACAGCCAACCATTTGTTGGTCAACAAAACGTCGTGCGTGTATGTTTGTATGTTGTACATGCACCGGCTGTATCGAGTAGACAGCCGATTATCCATATCGGTTACGCCGCAAATCTCGGTCAAATACGTCATGAACGCATCCAAATCCAACATAGGCGAAATGGGTTTCATGCCATCGATCAGCGCCTCTACCATTTGATTAAATTCCGGAGTAGGTTTCCTCAGAGCCGGAGCATAGTAGTCTTTCAAAATAATAGAACATACGCATCGGACTTCTTCGAGAGTTCCTTGGCACAAGTTGAACCTGAAGTTAAAATGTCCAAAATCAATTATATGCTGTTAAACTTTAACTTATAGAATACGTTTAATTAATATTAATGTTCACTAGTACTATTGAAATACAATATGTTAAACTTAACCATGAATGACTCACTTGTCTTGAATTCCTAACAAGTATCCAATAGTTCGCCAAAAATGCACAATAGATCTTTCGTCCTCTTCCGTGCCAATTATAGCCAATTCTTTTTTCTTCACCAACATTAAACCAATGAATCCGAACTGTGTTAATGCCATGTCTCTCTGGGACACTCGTAGACCAAGCCCAGCTTTCTCGGATGTTCGACTAGCAGCGCAATGAAGGCCATGTACAATTGACACAGATTTTTGGGACCTAATAATTGTATTAAAGTAAACTGGTTTTCATCTAATTTTTTTTTTTTTTTGAAAATGTACATTATTTATTAACATTTTAGATACAACTACATAGGTTCCAATTTTGAATGAAAATAAACATCATTCCAACTTTATGTATTTGTATTATACATTTAATTGATGTAATAATATTTTTTTAAATACTACGGTTCTACTCACTTTGAAGTGGAATCTTTTAGGTCAAAATTATACCACCTAATCATGTGTCTAATGGTGTCCAGATATCTTCTAAAAGCGTTGTAAGGATCAGATGATTTATTTGTAAGTATTAATACGTCCAATATTGTCGGTACTGTTAATACCAATATTAAACCCATCAATTTCGAGACAAACATTGCGTAGAAGTTGGTATAAAAGTATTTCTGCCCTCTGAAAAATGTATATATAATAATGAATTGTAGTTTCCAATTTAATTTGTTAATTTACGTTAATATAATGAATGTTTCAATTTGATTATTAATATAAATTACACTTCCGTAAAGTTAATAGAATATGACTAACCCATTTAAATTAATAAACGATAAACTACCAAATTCCAATATTAATTATAGTAAATTTGAATAAAAAAATTACCATCTTTTCAACGTCAATTTACAAAAATTGTATATTAATTAAAATTTTCTTCGTTAAAAATAGGTGTACAAAAACAGTTTTCATATTTTAATTTACTTAAAGAATTAAAACTATTTTTCGATTCAAATTAAATTACACAAAATTGTTTTTATTAATTGAAAATCAACGGAAAATAATTTTATAAAACTATGAGCTAATAAATTATTTGTTATATATAGAATTTATAACTTTGTTGCAATAAATTTAATAAATAATTAATAAAATAAATAAACATAAAATAATAAATCCATCAATATTTATCATTTACTAAACGACAAAAGTAATAAATTATATAAAAAACGTTTGTCTTCTTATCAATATTTATTACATTGTAATATATAATTTGCTTCCATCCCCAGAGTTGACTAATTAAATATAAAAACGAAAATTATATAATAAATACAATTTTACTTTGGGTTGAGATAACAACGTTTGAAATACTATACAACAAGGATGAAATTTATAAAAACGATTGAAACAATTTTGAATGATTATTTATTATAAGTTGTTTAAAATATTTTAAATGTTTAATACGTTTAGGTTATAAAATTACGTAATTGTACTCGCTTACAACATTGTTTACATATGAACAATACGTAGTAGCATATATTTAAAACCCAAACCAACATGATCGTCAGTAATTACAGTCCTTATATTGTAATATAAATATTACGTTTGAAATATAATTACGTCCGCTGTACACCAATGCGCGCGCAATATAATTGCATACGCTGAACAGAACTTTCAATGTCCGATTCGTTTGTTATACTTATATTTTGTGTAATAACGATGCGAAAGAATAAACCTGAGCGAAACCATACGCGTGTTTGTAAAAATGTAGCTTTCTATTAGGTCGCAATTAAGACGCAATTTATATATACATTTTATAAAAGTTCGACTTTTTCGGCGTGGTCTACTCGGTGTAAACGATCGATAAAAAAATTAACACTAGTTCATGTCAAACCTAATACCGTTTTACCTGGTAAACAATTCCTCGTCGAACCATTCCGGTAATTCTTTGGACCGCTTCTTGTCGACCGATACGTCACAGCCTTCTTCCAGAATCACTCTCACCCGCTCTTTCACTTCGTTTTCGTCCACCGTCACTGCGGGAACAAGAGCGTGAAAAAATATTTTTTAAAAAACACACGACAAACGCGTCCGTAAAAAAACGTAAAAAAAAAATTCATCGTCAGGAGAGACGCACGCGCAGGTCACGGATGGACATAATATAACATGTCGTGTGTCTACGACGCTAACCGACGCGCCTTACTCGTGAAATATTAAAAAAAGATGGCGAGTCCTTGGTCGTTTGTTGATACTCCAATTATCGTCGTCGTTGTCCACGTCACGTATATCGCGTGCAGGACCCTACGGCTGGATCTACTGCCTGGACAAGGATCAGATGTCGAATCGAACGTTGTTTTGACTTCTTCGAGTCGACGCCCGATACCAACAAGGAATACGACCGCCGTTCACGTCGGTGCTCGCGGACCGTGTGCATGGCATTCGACTGGTATCGCATACCAGTAGAAAGCGAGTGGCGATGGTAAAACCGGTATATTGTTATTATGTACTTCGTTACCATACACGAGTCGGCCACTTCCACCACCTTTTTACTGCTGCCACCTGTCACCACAGCTGAAAATAGTGAGGCAGAGAAGGATAAAGAGAACGCGAGAGAGAGAGAGACCGTGAACGAATGAACGAAAAATGCGAACCGCCTGCGTCAAATAATGATAAAAAATAACAATAAAAATAATAATAAAAATAATAATAATGATAATAGTACGACTAGCGCCAGCCGAATGTGCGTGTTTGTGTGAGTCCTTAGAACGGGCCGACCACCCTTTTTTATAATAATAGTACGTCGCCTGCTGTGAATTAACTGTATACATACACACACTCTCTTGTCGACCCGCGCAGGACACACTGTTTCAACGGCACACCGGATATTATATATATATACTCACATAGTACCTACTTAATGCTTTGATTAAATTGAGTCAGGTTATTTACGAACGTGACACAGAGTGAAATGTAGTTAAAATATTTTTAATTTTATATTTTGGTCGAAAAAAGTGACTACAAATGTTTAATCATATAAAAATGTAAACATAAATGTGACATAAGACTGCGTATAAACTTTGATGAGTATAATGTAAACATTTTTGTTACGTTTAACATTTCACAGTAGATTTCAATTAGTGTACTTTTATGTTTAAAGTACAATTCTAATGAATTTTCGTAAACAACCAAAAACGTATAGGAAATTGAAAAGAAAAATGGTACTCAACTGTTACGTACGTATATACAGTAGCGTAAATTGAATCCAATTGCTGGTGGTACAGAGGCATATTCTCAACTTATAATTTCCAACATTCCAATTTTCCAATTATTTTAGCATTAAAACCTTTATTATTATAATATTAATTAAAAAAAACAATCAAATTTTGTTTTTAGTATGCTGATTTCCTTGGCTCTTGAAAATAATAGTATAAGTATACAAATTTCAATGATTTTCTGGTTGTGCAAAATTATATCTTTGCACCACCATATTTTAGATGTGGTGTTGCAAGTGCCACATTTGCACCACCCAGTTTAGGCCACTGCGTACATACACGTTGTGCTGACATATCTGTCAGGAAGAATAAATAAGTATGTTCACTTATGTTCATTGCCTATTAATGAGTAGAGTTTCACGCATCTGTATATGTGTTTGACCGAAATAGAGAAAGTGACAAAAATAATACTATGAAATAATGATAGGTGAAAGTAGTTGAAACCGTTAAATCAATGCATACATTTAATACTACAATAACACGGCGCAAAAAAAATGTATTAAATTGAATAGTGATTAGGTAAATTTGGATTCATTATTGATACATTGTATTGTAAAAGCTTCTCGAAGAATAGAATAAACAGTATTACTATGTTGAATATTATTATGTTCAGGGTAATTACAATGTTAATTATAACCAGGCAATACGAGTATTTAATATATTTTTAAAAAACAATACCCAACAATTTATAAAATATTTGTTGATTAAATTGATAAAACACTTGATGCTCTATATTTATATGACATACATACATACATATTGGCTATTTAATAATTAAAAATATTTCCTTGTAGTCCTTATTATGAATAATATTATATTGCATTTTTACGAATACGTTACAAGAAGAATGATAGCCTAACTAATCATTATCTAAATAATTGTATTACTTATAGATTTCATAAAACTTGACAATAGTAGTTACTGTTTACCTATTTTTAGCTGTCAAAATGTAGACTATAGATTTTTAAAAATTTTAAAATGTATCTAAGTGAAATGTGCTAATATTTTAATAAAAAAATATTCTTAGGTAAAACATGTTAAACGTGTGTAACAAATAAATAATTTTCAAGTCAATCCGCAAGTACCATAAAAATAGTAAGATAAAATTTAGAAGTAAAGACGATGAAAAAGCTTTTCAAACGCTTGGTGTAGAAAATATTTATTGAAAGCTATAAGATTATGCCTACGATATTATAACTCATTATTGATCGACGGCCAATGATTTTACTGAGATCTAAGGATCTAGAGTTCTAAGGGCGCTACTTATTACGTAACAAACGATAAGTTTTTCGACATTATTCATAATTTTTAAAAATGATTTGACATGCCCGTAACATATTTGAAATAAAAACAAAATTATATCTGAAATTTGACCACGTGAAGCAAATATTTGAGTAAATGTGAAAAAAAAACATTGTCCAATCCAAAGAGAGAAACCATTTATAAATGCGTCGTATTATTCTCGAACCCATCCAAAAAGATCACATATTGTGATTTAGCCTTGATGCATAAATTATTTTAATTTTATATTGAATTATCAATAGACAATTTAACACACAATTTGTGATTTTTATATTATTTAAAAATAAACGAGCCGATTAAATTGTACATTGACTATCAAAAATATACACGATTTTCAAATCCCCGGTTATTCTCCTTTTTGTCGACAAATTGTTTTTTATATTATCTTTAAAGTAAATATATTTACTTATTTTTGAGCTTTAATGTATGTTCCTAATTCCTATACATAAGCACCAATACAATTTTAAATTATATTGTTACATTTATATTTTATATTTTAAAATATATTAAAAAATAATACGTGTGTACATAATAATATAATAATAGTGTACCATATACTCGTATATTAAATGATCGAATATTATGATTATTACTAGTTATTTTTATATAAAATATTAATACTAAAACTAATAAATAATGTAAGTCAGTTTAGATAAGTACCTACGTAAAAATGTATTCATGAAGAGGAAACGTATTACCTATTCGTATTCATTCAAAACTTGATGTTATAAAAATTTAATCAATTTTTAACGTCATAGTATTTTCAATTAATTTAGTAAATTTAAAAAATAACTTAAATTTAGACTATTAAATTTTCACTGGCTTATTGAAAATTATTATTTATCTTCTCGAAATTAAATTTTTATACCTAATATTTTAACATTCGTCAATTACGAAAAATTATTCATTTAGTTGGTTTAATATCACTGCTTGTAGTTTTTACACTAAAGCTTAAACACCAGTCGGTACTTGGCTTTGGTCCGAAAATCGTTGGTATAAATTTAGATTTTAGCTATATGTATGATTACATATTATAATGTATGATAGAATCTTTTAGTAGGATACAGAGATAGATTATTGGTGGAATCATCACAGTTCATTCGGTAATGTAAAGTGATTATGTTATACTTGAAAATAATTGAAATATTCATAAAACGTTTCTGAACGGAGCTCAACGAATCGTCGCATAGTGTTTTAAGGGTATTTTTCTTATGGATGATTCTCTGTATAGAGTCGTAAAAAAAACAATTATGAATACAAATTTGTTTTTTCCTTTATTGTCAACGATATGAGTAATCTTTTGTTAAATTGTAATTTGATTATATCCCAAGATCAAAGCTGCAAATACATATTAAAATAAATCTAAAAAATAAATACTAATGAAATATTGAAAACTAGTATTAGCCACTCATACAGAATAGATACTACTAGTGAATAAGCAGAGTGGTAAAACATATTAAGAATAATGATTAAAACACAAAGATAAATAGATTGTCATATTTTTAGTTGAAAATACAACATAATATATATATTAACTATATTATAGTTATTTGAAATTAAAGTAAAAATGAGCTGAAAAATTAAGGAATTCAGGAATGAAAATTAAATTTTAAAAATCAAAAAAAAAAATCCACTATGTAAATGACAATTTACAGTGGATTTTTTTTTTTAATAATTTTTTAATGAATTTTTTTTTTTAGTTACAAAAATAATAAACAAAATAATAAACGAAAAATATCTTACATAATTTTTCATTAATTTAAAAATATTTACAATACTTGGCAACAACAACATCAGCGAAAATAAAATATATTTTATTCTGAATAATTCAAAACAAATAACTTAAGATATTTCAACAAATTTTTCTTCTAAAGAAAATACTCACAATGACGTCACGTCATATTTTCGATCGATTTGCTAAGACTTTAACATTAACTCAAAATTTATATAAAATATATGTAATAGTATGGGTACAAATCATACTAAATTTCTGTTTAAGTTTTACGATTATTTTAATTAATACAAATTAACTCTTTTACAGGCTTAGAAAAATAATTTCTAAACAAAAGTTATTTAAATTAAAATTAAGCATCCATTTATGTTATTTAAATCGATCAATACTTTACTAGATATACTACTCCATATCTTATTTATTGAAAAGTAGGTGCTCATAATTACTTCCGTGCATTGGGTTCTTACATATTTTATGCTGATTTCTTAATTTGACTTTAATCCATGGATATCGGTTATTTATTAATCAAATAATCGACAATTTTCTTCTTTTTGAGTTTTCCAAAGTAAGTATAATACATTGATTATAATTATCTGAATTTGAAAGAAAACCATTGTGTCCATTATGAGTTAAACTATATGTAATGGTGTGTATAATATTTGCATAATTGTCATTATTAGATTCTATGTTATACTAATAGTCGAAACATTAATAAAATCAATAATTTTAGTATTTTTGAGAATATTTTATTTGATTCAAATCTAAATATCCAATCAATAGTATTATTTATACAATGAGTAAATGGCTTTAAAAAATATTCTATAATTGACGGACACGAATAAAAGTTGAGAAATTTGAAATTCAAACATAAGACAGAAATAAAAAAACTTCCATGAGGAAAAAATTAATGAAGACGTGATCTGATGTTCTACATTTTTAAATGCTTTGCCTGGTAAAAAAATGATTATCCAGTTTCTTCAATGTCACATATTATCATACATAAAATCTTTCAGACCTTGTGAATTTAAAAAACAACACCATTAGCTTCATCCCACTAATCATAAATCCTAGGTTTCGTCTTTTTGCTAATGAATAATTTAAAATATAAAACAATAACGTAAACACTATTCTTGTGCAACACAGAATAATGTTGCGCACAAATATTTTAATTTCATTTTATTGATTTTAAATGAAAAATGTGAATGTTTACTCAAAGAATTCAAAAATATAATTTTTTTCTCAGATATTAACGAATTTTTAATAACTACGTAGATTAACTGTTCGAAAACCAATAAAAATGCATCATTAAATTATACACATTCAGTTTATTCCCAGGCAAGTTTGAAATGGAAAAATCAGATTTACGAAATTTAAAATAATAAATATTCATCAGGTCAAATCAAATGTGCAAATTATGTTTTTCCAATATGTAAATATCTAAATTTATAATTTTAAACTTAAACAATAATTTTTCGGTCATGGTCATAAATGCTTAATTTAATTTTAAAAACTAAATATATATATTACGTATACATGTATTATGTGTTATGTTTTATTTGATATTATTTTGTAATTTTTAATACATTTTAATAAAGTATTCATACCTAAAAAAAAATAATTTACATTCAATTTAAGAATAATTAAAAAAAAACAAATTTTATTTTCCAGAAATAATATTCTTAAGTCAAATGCGTTGTATAAAATATAATAAATATATAAACGACCAAACCGCTAGTAGAAGTAATTATTTAACTGTGTAACTTTTTCAAAACGATTATAACAATTTTTATGATTGTTAAAATTAGTCTCTTGTACTCTAATCATTGCTCATATAGCTAGTCATAGCTTCGTCTATTACATTTTTCAAACTAACTTATTGCAACTGCATCTTTCTTCAGCTTATTTTACTGAACAATATTTTTTTTCATATTCTATTAATTAAATGATTCATTTAAAAAAAAATAAAATAGGTTCTACATCCAAGTTACCTTCTAATAACTAAGTTGAAATTATTATTATTATTATTATTATATTACTTATTATTAGTAATTATTAATATTTATATATCTTATTTTTGAACTAAATTATAATCGGGACGCAGTTTGCCTAAAACAAGGTAATTTGGACGCAGTTTACATATGCCCAAGGACTCAAGAAAAAGAAAAATCAATGGTAACTACATTAATAATTCAAAATTCATAAACTTTTTATTTTTATTAAATTAAATGTTTATAACTATTAAATCGATATTTTTTTCTCAAATCTATATTTTTTCTTAATTAAAATTTAATATACAAAACAAAAACATCTATTTATTAAATAATTATAATAATAATGTGTAAAAAAAATTATGATATTAATAGTTAAAAATATTGTTAAAGGCCATATTTCTATTGCGGTCATTAGGGTTAATTATCAATATATTATGCTCCACTATTCAATCCCTAAGACTTTTTTTGTCGTATACGTATTTTAAATTATTTTTTACTCACACATATTAAATGTAGAATTTAAATGTAGATAATATATCTCAAAAATGTCGATTAATTTGGTTGTATCAAAAAATATTAATAGTAATTAATACATATTATCTTTAATATTATATATTTTTAAAATACTTTTATATTGCATTTACATTAGACATAAGTAATTAACAATTGGAAAACTAATTATTATGTACTAGAAACGCGAATTAAATTTGAATCGATATCCTTTTTTTAACTCATAACACTTCTTGTATAAAAGTTAACTGTTTTCTAATAACAAAGTTCAAATACTAATTCAACTGGAAAATAGCAGTTTCTTATAGGGATTTACATTTTATATCATGTTATAGTTTAACACCTATTCTTTACCTAATGAGTCTTAAAAGTTAAATAATTGTTAATATAAAAAATAATATTTTAAAGTCCAGGAGCGACGCCACAAATTGCGGGGCTCCATACAAAATAGTTTAAATAAAATAATAAGTGACAACTACTATTACTAATTATATTAAAAATATTATTCTTCGTGTCCAATAACTAGTATTTATACGAACACAGTACATTGGTACTGTTCTCCGGGATATTACAAAACTATTATTTAATCTGTGGTTCGAAAAACAAAAATATTATTATTGATAATGTTGTCTTTCCTAAATCATAATATTAGGTTATTTGTTTTTCTATAATGAGTTCCGCTCCCGCGAGATCGTGTGGATACCGGTTGCACTGCCCTTGCGCCGAGTCTAATAATACTATATGTATGATAAAACAAATGAGTAAAACACGGCATAACGTATAGACAATAATAGTACACGTTCGAGTTGTGATAAAATGGTTATATAACCAAATTTTTAAAGAAAAATTATATGGACTATATTGATATTATGATTATGATTTACCATATAACTTTTAGTAAAATAGGTACATTGATAGAGGTCATGTTAGGTTTTCGAGTTATGAACACTTTCCAGTTCGGATATTTCTCCCTCAAACGTCAATTTCTAAGTGTTCAAATAAGTGGATGTTTTTTATATCTTGGTCAAAAGGTTTATGATAAATAATTCAAAATGTTCTCGAAATATGACAAAAATACATGAACATTTAGGAGGAATATCTAACATTTTAGAATACATTATTAGAATAATTTATTTTCATGAATATAGTTAAAACGTTTTAGTTTGTACTATAAAATACAAAAGAAAAACATAAACCGAATGTATAGATGCCACTTCCTCGTGATGTTTGGAGGAAACGTCATAAAACGGCAAAGTAACCCAAAAATAGTACAAAATTATTATATAACTTATTAAGTGTCATACGGGAAAATGTGTCGAACGAGGAACTGACCGTATACCAGGTCTTCGTACGCGTATAACTTCGACTTCGAGATAAACGTAACCGCTGTACCAAATTATTGGTGACCAAACGATTGTGCAAAAAAATAAAAATAAGACGCAGTAAAAAATGCATAGACCATTATATATAGTATAAAACATAAAATAACAATAAAATAAAGATAATGGTAACTGCATTCGTTAAAAATACATCGCGTATCTGAAAAAATATTGCAAATGACTGACCGTGTTCGGAGTATACTTACCGACCACATGGTTTATAATCTACGGGGAATCAAAGCAAACAATGTTCTGGTATGCTTTTGAAACGGCCATTTTTTTTTTTATCGTTGCACATCAATTGTTTTGCCCGTACGGTTTCAATAAAATTTTCAAATCCATTAGAATTGTATTCGCAGAGAAGAAAGGTAGGTACATAACATGTTTAGGTTCAAATAGATTCGTTTACCGATAAAAAAATATCATTAGTGAAGTACAACTTAAACAATGAACGTAAAATATATCGTTAAAAATTCATTACGAATTGCGCGAGGATAAAATAGTAATCATCATGGTGTTGCACATTACAGTGGTTTTTTTTCATTTTTTTATTCATTTCATGAGTATTTAATTTCCGTACTTCGACCATAGGTACATAATCTTTTGAGTTTTCAATATAATTTATTATAGTGTCAGTTTTCAGTTTTCTGATAATTTATTACTTTTGAATACATAAAACCACCTAAAAATATACACTTTTCATACTTTTAATTATTGAGATTTTATTATCTGCAATATTGCTTTTTAAACGAATCTCATTAATTCCAATAAATTAAAAACAATTTTAAAATGTAAATATATAGAGAATATTAAATATTTTTGATATAATAATAAATTATAACATATTGTTATTAGGTTATATGATTAGTAAAAATGTCTACTGGTGTAATGAGACTAAAACTTAACTCAATCAGCGCTGGAACAACAAACTTCTTAACAGTGGGAATTATTATTGCTATGCAAAGTCCTAAAGTAATTGTATCAAGAAAAAGTAAATTAATATAATTTTGCAATTTATAAAAAAAAATCGTATTAAATATAAAATAATTATATAATACAAATTTAATGAATATATCTATAAAATATTATTCTGTGTATTTAATAGCCTAATTTAAAACTGTTTTACATTTTTATGAACACTTAACATTGTAAAGTTAAATAATGTGAAGTTATTTTTTTAATTCTTAATAACATTCAAACTTATATTATATTATCAATAATGTGAGTTAAATCATCGCTAATACCATAAGTCTGTAATCATAGATGTATTTAGAGGTGTCTAGGGGGACTTGGGCCCTGGGTGGTCCATTTTGGGGAGCATTTTGATATAACACGGTACCTAGATCATTTGGATGATAAAAAAAAGTAATGATACCTACTAATAAAATTATTATTATAGTTATTATGAGCGGTCATCGTTTCCGCAAAAACGAAAAGGTTCGATTTTCATTTCCACCAAATCTATTTCTACTTATATTATAGAGATGGCATTTGAGAACCTATTGTTCATCTGCAGTTCGATTGATTATCGATATATCCCGAAATTCGGAATAAGCCATCATTTTATATTGAAAATATATAAGAAATAATTGATTTTACGTTCAATAATTTCCACGCATTATAAATAAATATAAATCGAACTATATAATATTATAAATTATAACCTATATCATGCGAAATTAGTGTCTGTGTTATCGGGATTGGAGTTCTGTGATCAAATTATTCACTGAATAATATCTGTATTTATTGAATATATCAGAATTTATATTTATATATATATATATATATATTTTATAAATTATTCTGTAAGATGTAATATAAAAAAAAAAAAACGATTGATAAATACAACAAATACAATAGAAGAATATAAAAATAAAAAATTTTAAGAATGACGTTTTTAAAAAAGTATGCAACAATTATTTGAAATAATAAATAATAAATAATTAATAGAATTATAAGAAATATTTGACTTTATATATAAAGTACATATACCTATACAAATTTAATTATAAAATTTATTATAAATATTATATATAATATTAATATAATAATTATATAATTATATAATATTATAAATATTAATTATAAAGTTCAAAAATATGAATCCGAAAATTAAGTCAAACAATTTTTTGGGGGGGGGGGGGTCAATAAGAACCGCTTCTCCATGGTGACCCTTGGGTAACTCTAAATGGTTCTCAAACTATAGTTTAGACAGTTGTGTAGAAATATATTTGGCGGGAACGAAAATCGAACATTTCCGTTTTGTCGGAAAAGATTGACGCATGTTTTTATTTGTTACGAAACATGCATTGATAATATCAACAGTCAAGACATAGAAAATTATATGGTAGTTTACTGAAAATTGAGATACAAAGAATAGATGAAACCGGAATGAAAACTAATAAAATATTGCATGGGTTTTTATGGCTAAAAATATTTCGCAGAAATGTTTAAACGATCGAGTTAGTTATAACAATCTTAGTTCTTAACGTTGGGGTTTTAAAGGTTTTCATTAAGGGGTTGGTGGGAACAATTTCCAAACCTCTCCCCCACAACATTTTTTTTAATTCTAATTTCTTATTAATGATTAGTCATAAAAATATTCTCAATAGTTTATATATAGAAATCGCAACTTTAAATCTTCTTCTTTTCTAAAGACTTAGCCTTGTCGTTGTTAAAAATAGATCTCCATTCATTACTTAATATTATTATTATTATTAATATTATTTAACTTTAAATAATTAAAAAAAAATTAAAACATAATTTTACATAATTTATGTATCGCAATATTTCAAATAAATTATCATGTACAGGTATTTTAAATTATCGCTTTTTTTCCAAATTGTACTTAACTAATACCTATATGTACACCCATGTATCATACATTATATTATAATATATGAACCAACCAAAAATAGTTTTTTTACGTCATACAACCGCAAATACATTCGACTACATAACTGCTTATTACTTTTAGTTTAGGTTATTTGAAAAAGTATCATACTTCAATTACAAAGAACTAAATTGAGATTAAATATTATTTTTATTTCTATGTATCAATAGATAATAAAGAAAAATGTGTACTTTCATTTACTATACGTGATTCTCCGAAAGACGTGGTTAATGTAAGTGTATGGGGCTCAAACGATTACATTAACCGTTTATATAAGGATTACAAAATCGAAGATGTCGGTAAATAAATAAAAATAAATAATTTATAATAATATTTATAAATAAATGACATTTATAACTAATATTATTTATATTTTGTGTCAAGTTGATTTAATTAATCCTATCATCAAGTTTATACCAGAAATTGAAGAAAAATATATGCCAAAAACATCTTGGTAAATATGTAGCATACTAACATACTAAATAAAAAATAAAACGCTTATTTTATATTTTAATATCATAAAAGACTTATCTAATTTTAAATAATTTAGCCCATTTGTGTTAACATTAAATGAAAATTCATCTCAAATTTTGAAGCATGATGTTAATGATCCTACGAACTTTAAATATCTTATGAGACTTCCTACTTGTCCACAAAGTATGTATTTAAAAATCGAAGATATTCATTCTAGTGGAAAAGAAATGTGTGGAAAATGTTGTAGTTTATTAGTTGCAGTTAGATATGTGAGTAATTAAACAAGATTGAAATTATTTTTTTCTTGCTTGATATTAAAAATATATTTATTAAAATACTAATATATTAAGGTGAAGTCTACTAAATTAATTAAAACCAAAACTGGAAATGACATTTACTTAAAGAAAATTATTGTGATGGACAAAACAAATACAACACTCTTAATAAACATTTGGGATAAACAACTAGCAGAGAGAGCTACACAATGGAAACCAAAAAAAACAAGTAAACAAAAATATTGAACATATTTATAATAAGTTATAATTTATTTTACATACAGTAATTAAATTAACATCAAAACTTTTATATTAAAAATAAAGTGCAACTAATTAAAATTATTTTTATATTTTAGTTTTAGCTTTTTCGGATTTACATTTAGAATGGGATAATTTTGATAAAACCATAGCAGCTGTTGTTTCTAATAGAACAATTATAACTGAAGATCCAATTACAAAAGAAGCTAACGATCTAAAAAATTATGCAATTACATACTTGAATGGGCTATCAAATAAACAAAATATTCACATTCCTAATCGTAAGTGATCCATATTATATTATAACATCAAAAATCTTTTTTATTCATTATATTTATTTCAAATATTAAAAACCCATTGTTTCACATCTCACATTTTAAAATAATTATCTACACAATATTTATAAAACTTGAAATTTGGCATAAAAATTGTAAATTTATAATATGAATTAGTGATGGGCATATCCGGATTTAAAAAATTCGGATTTCATAGATTATCTGAACTATCCGGAATATTCAATTCAATTTTGCTGTTCAATTACTCATTTTTATACTTACATAAATTTAACTTATCTTCAGAAAATCTTATTTAATAACCATTCTAAAGTTATGCAGTTAAGATAAGTTAATTGGGTATTCAGTCATGATATCACTGTAAGTCATGAGATATAAAGTAAACTCAACAATTTAGTAATTTATAATTTTGGTAACTAATAATACATTATAAAAACAGTTGAAATCATGATAAGTAAATTGAAATTCATAAAATATAATATTAATTTTTTGTTACAATAAAATAAAATAATTTATTTTAGGTACTAGAAATTAAAAATAATTATAAATTACATAAAAAGCAAATTCATAAATCCGAATAATCGGGATACTTCGGCAAATTCGGATGAGAATTTGATTCAAATCCGGATAATTCAGATATTCATGCCTATCCCTAATATGATTATAGATATCATTACCTACTACGAACCTACTACGAAGTATAACACTGACATTTAATAGATATGTGGAAATAGTTTTCTTTACAAATGTACAGTACAAAGTTCGATAGTACACCTAATACCTACTAATTTTATTAGTAATAATTAATTTTAAACAATCGATTCGAATAAATACTGCGAGTAAGAATAAAATAATTTGTATTATTTTTGCAATACTAGGCAGGTATGAGTAATCTTTTTATTTTACTATATATTTTTTATAATTATTCCACTAAATATTTAAATAAATATAATAATAATTAATACAAATACATGTGAAATACTTAATATTATTAGTATTTAATATATTTTTTTCAGTGTCAGCTATAACTGATATTATGACTTGTAAGCGTATTTTAGTGCAGTCACATGAAAGAACTAGTCCACAATTTACAGCTGTTCTATACGCAGTTGTGAGCAAATTTAACGTTGATGGGTTAATTCCATTAATATTTAATAAATGGCAAGTATTTTATTTTTAATATATTTTTTTGCGTAACTCTTAATTACATGGAATACTTTGCATAGTAACCTTTGTGGAATGTACGTCGAAAATGTACACCTAATGTGTATTAATCCAGAATGTTCAATGAATTTAAATATGGAAGTTGGATCAGATGAATTAGAAAGCATATTAAATATTCGTTTATCATTAACAGATTGTACAGGAACTTTAGAAAATTGTATATTGCATCACCAAGCTGCTACAAAAATACTAAGTGAAGTAAATAATAATTAAAATATATATAAGTTTTTTATGATTTTAATCAAATAAAAAATACAATTTAACAGAGGCTAAAACCAAATATATACTAATATTTGATAATTAATTAAAATACAGGGGTTATTTATAATAATTTGTGATTAATAATAATTAAGTATTACTTATTAAAAACTGTACAAGTTACAATAAATTATCAATTAAAGTTAGTAAATATATAATAATTGTATTTTTACAGATAAATAATTTTCAAAATATGAATATGGATCAAAAGACAGAACTAAAATGGAAATATTTGTTCACGAATTGTAAAATAAAATTAGTAGTAACAAAAACCTACCAAGAAGAAAAGCCAACAATTTTAGTAGTAGATATTGTTAATAAAGGACCAATACTACAATTCATATCATGCATCCCAATTTATTAATTTTAACCATAAAATAAGTCTAAAATGTTTAATTTATTAATTTCAATTAATACTAAGTAATTTTATAATTTAATTTACGATAAAAAAGTAATTTTACAGTTAATAAAATATAAAATTATCTTACAATATGTATTACATTTATTTCATAAAATAAAAAATATTAAGCACTCATGTTTTTCCAATAATAAATTAATTTGATCATAGTAAAAATAAAATAAAACAATTACAAATTAAGAATTTCATGGTGATTTATGCATAAAATATAAACCTAGTTATTTGATAATTTTTAATGCAATGGACGTAGTAGAATTTTGCCACATGTGTAAGAAATAAACGTCTACAGAAGTTTTCATACATTTGTACAAATATTTCGATAAAATTAATGACCCAAAAAGACGGATATGAGATAAGTATATTATGAAGAACGACACGATAGTGTAAAATTAATGATCATTTAGCAGAAAAGTTAAACGTGCCTACATTTAAAGCATTGTATAATGAAAAAATTGTTGGTGAACACTATATTCACTACTATCATATGGTACTATTTTATCATAAATTACATATATTTATAATTTATATTATGTTATTATATTTTTAATAATGTTTCTACAGTTGTAATTTGATCGAAAAACAATATTACCATAAATATAAATAATATATCATCGTATTTAAACATTTTAGTTAATATTATTAAAAAAAAAATTTGAAATTGTTTGCCGTACAAATCGAGTTCTGAATTGAATTAGAACATGTTATAGTATTAAATATAAACAAAGATAAAACTCCAAATTTTCATAATATTAGATTCCATTAAATTATTTCATTAAAATGTATATATTACAGTGTTTTAACAAAACAAACATACGATTTTGATTTTTGTCAAAGATTTCTGCATTAGTATTTGTTAATTATTTTCAAAATTAAATCAAACTTAAAATTGAATCAAATATTCTGAACACATATTAACTTATTGATAATTCATCTATAGTTGAGGCAGTTAAAACTACGAAAACAAATTAATTCTTGTGTATTGTAAAAAACAAATTCAACTACCATACAAACTAATTTATATTTCGTTGTATTATAATTTCTTTATTTTCGAAATAATCGAAATGAAATAATTAGTATATAATTTCAACTAGGTGTACTGAAGAACACACAAGTATTTTTCAAATCACCCTAATTATCTTAAAAACAAATAACTGACTCTTTCTGTATTGTTCACGCCAAAGTAATGTCTAATAGTCGACGGTAACTTTTTTTTTTGTTATATAATATAAAATATTTCCAAAATTCAACATAAAACTCGGCTTGTCGACTATCCGACAAAATTACACTGGCCTTTATCGTTAATGATAATCGGTACCTACGTCTTATTATTGTTGTTCGTAAATCATAATTAGTCGTCATAAATATAAATTTTATTACTGAAACGCGCCACAAAGATGTTAAACGTTATCGTAAATCGACGTTGCGCGTACTTTTAGATTATTAAGCCGACTTGTCAATGCAATACGTTGTGCTAACAGCTGTAGACAATCGTATACGCCGTACCTTTCCAGTCGTAAATAATAAAATCGAAAAACGACTATGGTTAATCGGCATTACTCGGTTTATATGTACATACATATAATAGATAAAATAATGTAATAGTTTTGATACTATATTAGTTGTCGAAAGATGTTTTCCTCAAACCGACTTTGCGCGCTCTTTAGTTTTGCACGATATCGACCTTCAGGTATTAATATGTATTAATATCAATAATAATAACTGCGTGAAATCAATGTCAGTTGGGAAGTTATAACTTTTGGTTTTCTCAACGTACTCGATGTCTACTTTTATCAGGTTAATCGACCGATTATAATGCAATAATATACAATGCGTTTCCATTAAATTGTATATGATATACGTACGTTTGATGCAGGCACCAGGTAATCGCTCGCAACAGGTTTTAAAAGAAATATTATGTTTATTGCTATATATATTATTAATTATTTTATCGCGATTTAGGTGGTATGCGAGAGCTCGCAGTTCAAATTATCGTTTCCAGTCAATAAAGAACACGAATCGAATACGGTTAGTGCGCGTTACTAGAATATTATGGTTTCAAATTATACACTGAGATTTCGCACTAAAACCACGTGAGTACTTTCGAGACGCTTTTTTATACTTTTTTTTGCGTTAAAGAATTAATAATTCGGCATAAACATACATAAACCGGCGATGGCTCCGAACGCATCGCCTTTTTATAATTTTAACATGGACAATCACGCTACTCTCATTCAGAAAAATATCTGCCACCAATTCAATAATCGTAATTCCCTGTTGAAAAACAGCTTACAGTCAGTGAGAGCAAAATTTGTTGCGATCAATAGACATTATTTAAGGGAAAACATTATCGAGCCGGTTAGTCATTTTTCATCTTCATCTGTTATTGGAAGAGAAAAAAATATAAACACATGGTTCGATGATTTGTATTCCGTCTCGTCAATGCGCTTGGAGCTTATACGCAAAAATATGGTAAAACAAACGTTAACCGAAAAATTAGAAATGTGGTTTAAGAAAAAAGACGAAATGTCACGGAACAGGAAATTCGACGTTTTATTTAAACCCAAGGTCCAGCGCGACGAAATTCTAGTCAAAAAAGAAAACTATCAATTGATTTTTAATCAAATTCAACAACGCTCCAACAGTAAACAGGCAGTTGTTTTTGATCACCTACAACGCAGTAGAGAAATATGCTTTAAAGCGGTCTTAGCACAAGCTATTTCAATTTCAAGTTTTATAAACAATTGTTTCAATGACCAACAGTTGATGTTCAAAATTGGAAAAGAAATCTATGTTTACAATTCAATGGAGTCAAGCTTAAATGATTTAAAGAAAATTCAAATTGTTGAAAAAGAAACATTAATATCAGCCCAAAATTTGGTGAAGGATCTTACATTATACAAAAATAATATAGTTATTCCTACAAAAGAAAAAATTGAATCATTAAAATTAAAAATTAATAGTAAAAAATGTATATTGAACAAATTTTCAATTAATACTCCTGATTGGAAGTCAATACAAAGTGTTAGACGCCAATATGTTGCTTTGGTTAAAAATAATAAAGTATTAATTCAAAATATATGCAATATAAGAAATATACCATTTATAAGTGATCCAACTAAAAAAATATTCAGACAGAATTTAACTAGAGTTATCAATACACTTGTTAACACTATATCATCAACTAATGTAAGACATTTAAATGAAAAATATAATAAGCTAAATTTATTGTTAAGCGGAAAACTTGTTTGTGTGGCAAATACCAAGGTTATGATTGGTGATAATAAGGAAGCAATGGCATTTTGTATGGAAACTTTGGCAACAAAACTCATCAGTTATGCAGAGGAAGTAATAAGTGTAAAGACTCAAGTAGCTTATGCAATTGCAGCAGTTATAACTAAGCTTTGGAGTGTTCATCAGCAATTTGGTAAAATCCTTTATGCTGAAATAAAAGAAAAATGCCCTCTTTTAGTTCCATTTGCTCATCCTGTATCACCATACTTAACTGCTAACCAAATTGACCATAAATCGTTTGGTTATAAGTTTGATTCATTGGGAAATGTTGAATCAGATGAAAAATACCTAAGACGTATGACAGGCATTGTACGTCTTTATGCAGCTATCATAATTACCTCATCAAAATATGATCAATCAGTTATCGGTCTAAGTCAAGCATGGATTTTTGTGGCTGGTACTTTAAATCAAAATCCAGTTGCAAACATTACAGCTACTATTTTGGTTGAATTTCTTAACATTGTTGGGTTTTCAATGCATCAAAGTTATGGTAAACAGTTTATCAAATTATTAGAATATATTCTTACACAATATTTGAAAAAAATCATACTGATTACGCCTGAAGGGAATGGAGGACCTATTACACGTCTAAATAGCTTTATTTCAACAAGTTTATCTAATAGTTTGCTTGAAGAACCTAAAGGTATGTTATCATCTGATTTTTGGTAAACATTTTTTATACTATTTCTAGTTATACTTGTCCTACTTGATTGCTTTATTTATAATAAAAATTTAAAAAAAAAATTAGAAAAAAAAATTGTTATCTAACTAAAAAAAAAAGCTTATTTGTTGAGAGAAAAATACTTATTTATTGAGAAAAAATTACTTATTTATTGAGAAAAAATGCTTATTTATTGAGAAAAAATTGCTTATTTATTGAGAGAAAACTACTTATTTATTGAGAAAATATTTTATTATGTGTTTAAATGCATAACTAATACTATCTAATTTAAATTTTAACCTAATTTTATTGAATGTTGGATTTTTTTTTACATTTTTAAAATGATTTAATTTATAGTTGATGATACACTGTTAGATTTAAATACACGTAAATGTATGTTTTTGTATTAACGCGCTCATAAAACCATGTAAGCTACCTATTTGTAAACTATTTGTATTGAGTTATTTATTAATTTATTATTGCCATTTTTAATTATTTTTTTAAGAATTTTACAATTTTGCCGAATTATTTATTTGTTAATAAAATTAACATAATGTGATTAAAAAATGTGTTCTTTATTTCAATCTTTTTATTATTAATATAAATTAGTTTTTTTGGTATTTATAACTATTTGTTTATATTTATATAATTGACTGCACTTATGTAAAGACTTATATTGATTATCATAAGTTTTTATTATAAATAAAAAATAATATCAGATAATAAATAATAGCAGATTTGCTGCTATTTAACAATTTATTTATTACCTAATGATATAATCAAGGCCCAATCATAGGTAAACCAAAATTGTTTATTTTTTAAATGAAATACAATAACATATAAACCTAATTAAACAAAGAGATAAATAAAAGCACATCTGGAATAATAAGAAAAGTAATTTAGGTTAAAAAAGATAGGTTTTAATTAGCAACCTTTGCCAGCAGAAAAAGCGGATAGGTAATTTGCCAGATGATAAGCAGAAGATAAGGTAATATGAAAATTATTATATATTTTAATTTTTGTACATATTTATAATAGAAATAATGATGAAATTATATAAATTTAAATATTTTGGAAGCAAACATCAATAAATATAAATTAAATAACTAGTTAGTCGTTTTAAGTTCATCTTAAATTTCAACTAAATTACATGCCTTGTATTATATTTTTTTATTTAACACAAAAATAAAAAACTTAAAATATATTTTTATACTATTAAAGTAAATAGGTTTTGACTTATAATAATAAATGTGTAATGTCATTTTACATACATATTTATTACTGCTATTTAGCAAATATTATTTATTATAAATTATTTTTTGTAAAATCCTTAAATAACAATAATTATCTATATAAATTATTATTTCATTCAATTATTTTTTGTTTAAGTATAATTTTCAGAATCTGTATATTAATATTAATTATATAATATATATTTTATTGAAATGTATGCTAATAATAAAATATTTATTTAATTTTTTAAAGAGTAAATACAATATAAAATTAAATATTTAGGAAGCAGTTGATTATAAAATAATTTTAAATTGAATAAGCATTTAATTTATTATTCTAAAAACTAATCTTTTTTGTAAAGATTAAATCTAAAATACCTATAAATATTATATTAAGTAAATATATAAACATTATTCTTAAAAATTAAAAAAACGTAACATATTTTGTTTCTAAAAAAAAAAAAATTGGTATAACATTGTTAAATACTTTTATGGATTAATATATGATGGGCGAAAGTAATGGTACAACCCTGTACCTACTAGATCCTCGGCTGACAAAAAAAAAAAAGATAAATATATGATTTATATTGATATAATTAAGATTTTTACTATTATATATTATTTTAATGGATATACTTAAAAAAATGTATGAAGATATATTATAAAAAAAACTTTACCAACTCACTTTTATTATCTATTAAGCAATATAATTATTTATTAATGAGTAATAAATATGACAAGTAAAATAAAAATAACTAAAATATTGCTGCACACTAAATAACTCAAAAACAAATAGTACAATAAATTTCTTCCCAGTTAAATAATGACAAATTATAGAATAAATTTAAAAAAATGATAAACTACAGGTTAGATTTAATTTTGATTTAATATAATATGTATTATTATTTATCTAGGCATTATTAAATCTAATATTAAGAGTTAATTGAGTTTGGTGATTGATACACCAAACACCGAAAAAGTTTTTTTTTAATCAACAAAAATAATTTTTCGGTCTGAAAAATCTAGATGTAAGCGACTTGAGAGGGAGCTGTCGCAGTATTCAGATCTACACGTACGTCGACACTAATATAATCCGTCCGCTAGGGGAAATTAGTTAACTTTTTGTCTCATTAATTTAAATTTTCGAGTTATCGTCCTCTAAGATAATATTCATTTTATAATAAAATAGGTTATGTCGCAAGAAAACTATTTTACAAGTTATCAATGATAACATTAATGATAAGATAACAGTGACAATGATTAACTACACACGTGCATTTCGTCGTCTTTAAAGTTTTCACGTACGATCCGGTACTTGAAATCGCACCTAATTTCGAGACCAAACATATCGGCTGCCCCAATATGCCTAAGGTGAAAAAGGAGAAAGGTCCTAGTGAATATGGAAAACAAGGTAACGTATTATAATACCTAGATAAATTAAACTTGGGTTTCGATTTTTCGCATTTCATTATCTGTTACTGTTTCGTGAAAACAATGTTCAGGCAATATAATGATTTGGTCAAATCTTTGAATATGAAATATAATCGTCACGATTTAAATATTATTTACACTTTTTAAACGGTTCAGCTTTATTCAACTATCCTCATGTAACTGGTATGGAAATTAAATATCTAATTCATGACTATGACATGATTTATTTGGTTCTACAATTTTCATGAGATTTTTTCTCTTGATAGTGTTTGATATTCTGTTGATTCTTAGTGAATAATTCATTATTACTAATAGGTTTTTTTGCCAATGATGCAATGATATAAATAATTTGTTTCATTATGTTGCAACCATCAAACATTGTCATCTAATAAATGAAATGTTGAACTGCATGAAACATTCATTAGTTTAAATTAATCATAAGTATGACATTTATTTGATTTTAATTGCTGCTTAAAGTTTATACATATATTTGTCATCAGTGGTGCAACCAGGATTGGTTTTTTTTTTTTTTTGGGGGGGGGGGGTTGAATTTGGAAAAATTAAGCATTTTCTGCAGGTGTTTGGTAGGGATGAGGAAGTAAGATTAAATTAGGTTTATGAGTAAAATATTTAAATTAAAAATTAAACTGTTTAACTTCTATTTCATATTGTGATGCCACAAAAAAAATATATAATCGACTATCAAAAAATCGTAGTATCAAGGTTACTGATGTTTTAAGATTGAACGGAGCATTAAAAAACGTTCCATATTGTCATGTTATTATTATTATCAATTATAATATGAATAATAATCATATTTCATATCAATCAGCCATTTCGTGACTTCAAGATAACCATTTTTTTTTCCTACTTAGGATTTGTAAAAACGTCAAAAAAATTTTGGAGGGGGGCAAAACCCCCAAACCCCTCCCTTAGTTGTGCCACTGATTGTCATATTTCTTTCAATATCTTTCTTTTTATTATTGTAATACGTATTATGCATAATGTCTTGTATATTTTAGGTATTATGTTTAAAAAGGATTTTGGGCAACACATATTGAAAAATCCACTCATCGTTCAAGGAATGGTAGATAAATCAGCATTATTGCCTACAGATACAGTACTTGAAATTGGTCCTGGTACAGGTAACTTAACTGTTAAGTTACTAGAACGTGTCAAAACAGTGATTGCTTGTGAAATTGATGTTAGGTAACTTTTCCATTACATTAATAATTATTTTTTAATATTTTTCACTCAAAATTAAACTATTAATAACATAATTGTAGAATATTACTAACAGTGTTAGAGCTCATATTTAAATTAATAAATGAAGTAGTTTTATTTCAGTTTTGAATTTTTTAGTAAAACTGAGTAATGTTGTAGTGTCAGTGTTTAGAATGTAAAATATTAATTCCAAGATCATATTATTTTAGTTTTTAAAATTATTTAGTATTGTTTTAACTATACATGAATATAAATAATGTCTCAATAGATTAGTGGCAGAATTGAAGAAACGTGTGATGAACACTCCGTATCAAAATAAATTGCAAATAAGAGTTGGAGACGTCCTTAAATCTGAACTACCTTTTTTCAATGTTTGTGTTGCTAATATACCATACCAAATTTCATCTCCTTTGGTTTTTAAATTACTCTTACACAGGTAAAATACTATGAAACTATTATTAATATTATATATTCTAAAGTATTAAATGTTTTTGGCAAAAATAAGCTTAATTGCCCTTTAATTACCTGAAAATGTGTTTGTATAATTTAAAAAATTAATCTTTTTTTATTATATTTTAGTTTTAATTCTAAATATTTTGGTTTGTACTTAAAATTATATTTAGATAAAATTAATTGAAACTAGTTTCATGTTTAAATGGCTTAATATCTAAGTCAAAATTAAAATATTTATTTCCAATATTTTTTTCTTCACTGAAAAAACTAATATTTACTTAATATCAACTTACCAATCAAAATATTTTTTTTTAATACAATTTTGGAAAACAGTAAAAATTAAATGTCTAGATACATTTAAATAGTTTGTAAATTTAAATCATTATATTTTAGACCTTTTTTCCGCTGTGCAGTACTTATGTTTCAAAGAGAATTTGCATACCGTTTAGTTGCCAAGCCGGGAGATAAACTATATTGTCGTTTATCGATTAACACACAGTTATTGGCTAGAGTAGATCTTCTTATGAAAGTAATTTTTAGTTTATTTTAAAATTTATTTTTAAAATGTCTATATGACATTACAATTTACCAAACAGTTTTAAATTATTGTATATTTTTTAGGTTGGAAAAAATAATTTTCGGCCTCCTCCAAAGGTTGAGTCCAATGTAGTGCGCATAGAACCTCGTAATCCCCCACCTCCAATAAATTTCAAAGAATGGGATGGATTAACAAGAATAGCATTCTCTAGAAAAAATAAAACGTTAGGAGCAATTTTTAAACAAAATGCTGTAGCTGTAACATTAGAAAAAAATTACAGAGTTTACTGTTCTTTGAAAAATCAAGTAAGTTGCAAATAGTATTTTCTGATTTAATAAAACAATTTTTGACTTGCAATGGAAAATAACTAAAAGAAATACTAAATATAATTTTTTATTATTTAGGAAATAGCAGAAGACTTTGATATTAAAGAAAAGTTAGATGAAGTTTTAAATAAAAATGATTTCTGTGAAAAAAGAGCTAGGAAAATGGATATTGATGAATTTATTGAGTAAGTAAATTTATGTTATACTTTTTAGTTATTGATGAATATTCATATGTTTTGGTTATAGTATTTATGTTTAAGTAAAATAAATTATATACATTTTGAATATTTTTTTTTTTTGTCTTATTAATGTATATTTTGTTTTAGGTTACTTCTTGCATTTAATAAAGAAGGAATTCATTTTCAGTGATTGTAAAATAACTAAGGCCATTTTATTATTGTATTGTACTGGTAATTATTTAAGGAACATTGTTTACATTGTTGATACCTATAACTAATACATTTCTTTAATCATCTTAAATATGATTGTAAATACAATTTAAGGGTAAAATATAATTGATATTATATTATTTATTGCACTTAGATTTTGTTTTTATTAATTTTACTAATTAAATCAACGACTAACCTTTTTATATTTTGTTAGACAAAATACTTTGTCTTTACTTCAAATTAATTTATAGTATTAATTTAACTAGAACTGAAAAAATAAAGTTGTAATTTATATCAATAATATACTTATTTTAAATATTTTTCTGGGTCAAAAAAGTTACTAAAAAAATATATATTTGAATTACATGAAACTGTTTTCCCTCATTTTTATTGGTGTTTGGTTATTTTTGATTTTTATTTATTATTGTACAATAAAGAGCCATAATTTAAGAATTTTTGGAAATCTTATTCAAATTTCAATTAAATTTGTTACCATATTTCCATGAACGAGCAACAAAGTTAAATTTATAAAAATATCATTTAGAAAAAAGTCATATGATTTCATGATTTATGAATAATTCATGAATATGAATTCCATTTTAACATTTTTTCAGTAAATTATTTTTTAATGTATAATAATCATTTGATAATAATTATAATTTTATTGAAATTTTCATAGTTAATTAAAATAATGAATATTTTACTTTTTTTTTTTTTTGTAAACTATAATCTAATGGGCCTATTCTATGTAAATCTTAAAGCTCAATTTACCGTTTTCATTTTAATAAATGGGACTCGACTGTTTTTTTAAAATGGTGCATTACTTAGGGACTTAATTTACCTAAGTCTATATAAGTGATACTTTAATCGATCATCAAGTATAATGTACAGGAGGAAAATAAATTATTTGTATTGTTCAAAATCCAATTTATTATTTATTAAGCAACTAAACAAACAATTACTAAACAATGGAAAAGTGAAACAAATATGATAACTAGGGCTCGGATGTTGTAGGAATTGCATATTGTTCTGTATGATCCCAATTTATAGCAGATCTAGCTAGAAATTTGAAGTATACAATTGTAAGTTAGAAAATTGAAAATTCATATTTTGCATATTTCATATTTTTCTAAAAAAATTGATTTTTTTTCTTTCTTAACCTATATATTTCAATTAATATTGAATATAAAACTCAAAATTATCAACAAAGGTATTTATTATCATCACCATAGTTATCTTTTACCAAATAATTGTCATTAATTTGAAATAGAAAATCTTAAGAAAGTATTGGTGGTCCAATGCAATAACTTAACAAGTATTAGAAAACATGTTAAGTTATTGCAAATAAATTTAATTTAATTAAATTACGAAAAATACAAGTATTAGAAAACATGTATTTTTTCGTAATTTAAAAAATACTGAAAAAATATTTCAATCTTATTTTCAGCTCAATAAGATGTTAAAATGCCATCCAGTTATACCTTTTTTTTTAGTTATAGTTTTTATACATATTATTAATTTATAAACAACATTGGATGGATTTTATTTTTGGAATTCATAATAATTTTTTAGCATATTTATTCATTTTTTTGCACATTTAACATTTTTAATGCATATTTCGCAATTTTTTCGTGCATATCGTACCTTTTTTAGTTCCTACAACTTTCGAGTCCCAATGATAACAATTTTGTGAACAAATAACAGTGGAAAACAATAAGATAATATGTGGTGAAATGGAACAGGGTACAAGTAAAAAATATTGTAAGCATACTATCAGGGGCGGATTGATAATTGGACTTTTTATCTTGAGACCACGGCTTATAATTTGGATAATTAAAATAAATATTTATAATAATTGTAACAATATTGATCTATATAACATAAACCGTAGAATTGTAGGTATACTATATTATTACATAGTACAATGTCGTTTAATACAATTAATAACAGGAACTTGGAAGATTGAAGATACAGGAATTATTAATTTTATTTTATTTTTATTTTTTAAGCTTTATATACCATTATAGCCGCTGAAAATAATTCTTTCCACTTTTCTCTTTTCTTTGATGTGTTCTGATTTATTTCTCTTGATTACATAAGTTCTATCAATGTTTTCCATATATTGTTATTTCAATATTTTATTTTATTCAACGTATGGTTTAATATTATATTTATAAGTATTGATTAATCCATTTTTAATGATTATTAATACTACAGACCACATTGTTATTGGTACTTGGTAGGTATCAATAGTAATAACTATCAGTTAATGTATGGAACGAAGTTGAAAAAATTAGGATCTCTTGGTGTGAACCGAGGCAAGGTTATACTAGCTTAAAAATTATAACCGGAAAACCACTAGTGATCAGCCTATTTAAATTTTTCTTTTTTTTTTAAGTATTTATATGATATTTATAGGATACAAAATGTATTTATTAACTAATATGTATATAATATATATTTTTGGTCAACTTGGTTCTAATATACATTACTATGATAAAAAACAGATAAATTATGAAATTATAGTCATTATACAATAGCACTTTCCTTAATATCTTAAAATGTTACATAAATAATAAAATATAATTCAAAAAACTCATTATGTTTAATAAGGTAAATGATATAACTAAAATTATTGCCATGCAAATAAAATTTAACTCAGAATAAATTTTTGATATTAATTGATTTCTTTTTTCTTATAATTAGATAAATATACCTACAAAATTATTTTGGTTTGTAAATTCATTTAAAATTAAGAAGGAAAAAATTTTTTTACAGTAGAGTTCTAAAATTTGAAATGTAATTTTTTTATGTATTATTAATTATTTAATTTATCAATTAAATGTTCAAAAATTGCTAAATTTCAAGTACATATTTTTTTTCTTTAATGCATATTTTAACACATTAATGCATATACTTGTGTATGTTAAAAAAAATTTTCCTCATATTGGGTTTGTTTTTAATGCATTTAAATCCATACTATAGAGGTGAACTATGTTTTACTACTTCCTCAGTAATATTTAAATATTTAACAAATTATTATCGAATGTATAAATAATTTATTAAAACTGGTAATCAATTTTTTAATAAAATAAATAAAAATATAAATATTGCCTTGAATATTATGTAATAGAGTGCTAATAAATACAACCGATTTCGAGTTATGATAATGACTTGGTTGTAAAAATTATTGTAATTGTGTTAAAAATTATTTATTTTTTTAATTGACAAAATTGTAAATAATGATTTAAGAAAGTCGTGATATATTAAATATCTCAAACAACATTTTTAAACCAGCAAGCCAATGATACCAGAATATGATCAAACAAAGAGTGTTAGGCCTTAAAAATATTGTGAGAGTATAATAGTTTTCCACCATCAGTAATAACAAATTCGAAAACTTGGAGAGGTACGCAGGTTATGTATATTCTATACAGGGTTAAGTTTCTCTGAAAAAAAGGTCTTTATTGTTCGTAAATTGTGCGTAAATGAGTTGCAGTCGTTTCTCCTTTTACCATTTTTATCACAAAACAGTAAATACCCACATAATCTTCCAACAGTTTTGTCGGAGTACACGGAACACACGATATTACTGAAACTGATATAGTAAACCATTATTAAGAACAATTATAAAAATTAATTATTTTTGCAACATAACAGAAATGGGCAGCCACATAATTACAACCTACCGGGAGATTTGCCAGAATCCGGCGGTCTAGTCCAACCCTGCCTGACTCGAGGCCTAAATGTTGAGTGTAAGTTCAACCCTGCATACTACGTCCGCAGACTTGGGTAAAATACTTTTTAAAAGTATTTAGAATAAATACTCGAATAATTACAAAAAATGGTATTCCGAATATGTATTCAAATACTTTATACAAATTGTATTCCGAATACATTATTTAGAATACTTCAAAAGTATTCCGAATACTTTTAAAATACTTCTAGTTTTCATACTATAAAAATAATAGATGTCCACTCAACAAAAATATTTGAAATTGTAGATTAAATATATGTTATTTTATTGTATTTTTAAATTGCATAACTTATAGTTTATGGTTTATAATAATATTTAATACTTAATATTAGCTTATACAATATACGACGGAAAAGTTATAAAATCATTTATAAAAGAGATGATTTGACGGTATTCGAAATACAGTAGGTATTCAGAATACTCGTTATAAGTATTCAAAATACTTTATTGAATACTTTCAAAAAAAGTATTTAAAAAGTATTCGAAATATTAAAAAAGTATTCTGAATACAGTATTCCGAATATTGTATTCGGAATACTACCCAAAACTGCACGTCCGTAAGTCGGCGTATACGATTATTATTGCGACGATTGTTTACAAAGAATAAAATCGAATTTACCGCGTAATGGCCGTTCTGTTATCGATATTGATGATAACGGCGGCCAGTGCGACCGCGACTACGGACAATACATCAATGGCCGCGTTCGCTCCAATCCGCTAATCGATTGTGTGAATGATAACTCTGCGTGTCCACGAGATTATTTCACTTGGTCCAAATTCACCTACTTCTTGTTAGATCGCAACTTCAGACGCGTTCGTAACACACCACCGTTTGTCCGTCGTATGTGTATCCCGTGAACGTCGTTTTCCGCTTCCAAGCCACCGCATTGGACGCCATTACACATTTGAACGCAGTCACGATCCGCGACCGTTGCCATCATTCAATATCGTGTTCTGCCGTAATAGCCGTGCAATGTCTCTGTTCAGGTGAGTGCACCGTGATAGTGATTAATGCCCGCACGGAGCAACCGACGTTTTTGTTGAATTAGAATGCTGCAGTTGATATCAAGTGATATTAATCCAGCCCATATCGCTCTTCTTCGATTGAACATCGTTGTCATTCAATAGCAATATGCTTTGTTTACGAAACATTTACTCCCAACCGTTTGTCGTCTTGGTCTCATGCGCTCGTATCATCATACAAGTTCTTGATGATTATTCTTTTACCATTTACTATTGATTTCAGATAACTACTTAACTATTAAAACGCATTTAATTTTATAACAATTATTGCTGTCAGAGACTGCATCTAATTTTTTTGTGTGTGTATATATATATGTACATTATATAAACACTGAAAATGTTCTCAATTATATATATTTGAATTACTTTATCATCTACATATTTATACTATTGCCTGAGTATTATAGGCTTAAAAAATAAACATCAAATATCTGTTTAGTTCTTGCTATTGATATTTTATTGTTTTTCATACCTTGTCAATAGAAATTAATTTTAACTTTTTTATTATTTCTAAGACAAACTTTTAATTTACCATTTCTTTATTTTGTTGAAATTATATTAATTTAGCGTATTGCCAGCGCCAACACAGTTTCTTCGAGATTTAGAAGAAGATGATGATGACTTTACAAATGCCATCCTTAACGAGAAATCAAATGCTACTGAAGTGTATGTTGATAAAATACCACCTTATGGTCATCGTAATGGATGGGTACCACGGACTGTTGAGGTAAATTTTATTTACAAATAATCTAATATTTTTTGTAGCAGTTGAATATATCTATAAACAAACATATTTATCATTATTACTTAGGATACCTGTGGTAAAATATTTTTTATTATATCTATAATATGATTGTAAATGTAATTGTTATTTTATCAATAATTAAATACAACTAAAGTACCTATTAGAACAAATATATTTTTTTTTATTTAAATAAGAAACATAAAATAATATAAAACATAGGTATAAATATATTTTAAATACCTTATGCAAAATTATTCTGTCCTATTATTAGTAAAAAATGTATATAACTAGTTTTATTATTAAAACTTCATTATTTAAGTTAAATAAATTATTCATTTTTTATTAAAAAATATCAAACACATACATTAATGATAAATGTACTTTAATAATGTTAAACAAACCTTTTTAATTTTAAAACCGCTTGAATTTTCTGTTTTAAAACAAATTATTTTCCTATTTTACTGCAATATTTTTTTTCTTTTACACTGAACTATAATAATTAAAATCATTTGTAGAATATTGAAATTTAATGTTTGCAAATAATACCACTTCATTATGTTTTTACCATTAATTTACAATTACTAATTTTATATAATACTAACATGTTGTAAAAGTGGATTATTATTTAAATGTATGTATATTTTTTATTAAATTGTTAATTATTCAAATATAATATAATATTATTCTTTAGTTTAAATTTTAATCACAAAATATTTTTCAATTCTTTTTCATGACTTATTTATTTTAAAATATGCTTAATGTCTTATTTGAATTATTCATTATTAATTAATCAGTAAAATCATAAGTTTAAAATATCTAAAAATATTTACTAATCAAAATTGAGCTCATATTAAATGTAAATCAATATAAGAAATTAACTGAGACAATAATTTTAAAATAAAACTATTGACTTCAATTGATTTAAAATAAGAATCCAATGTTTTTAATTTTTTTTTTTTTTTACTGGCTTTGTTAAAGTACTCTTTCAATACCAACTCAACAATTAAATGAAAATAAATTAATTAAATCGAACTAAATTAAATCTATGATCGTATTAATCGTATTTTATATTACTTTATGTTGCGCATAGATGCATAGTGTATACTGACAACTGACAAGACATGAGTCATGATCAGAAGTGGATAGGTGGTTTTTTTTGTTACAGGGAAATATTTTAATGGGGCCACCAAAATGAAAAAAAAAATTTGCTTATAAAAAATGTATTAGATTTTTTCATCCTAATTTAATTTAAATAATTTAACTATAAAAAAAAAAATTTCCATGAAAAAAATTAATGGTACATATAGGGTGAGGGCCCACAGGGAAAATCCCTTTTTCCCTATGGGCCTATCCATCCCTGGTCACGGACTAGGATATTAATATTCTTATTAACCGATAATATCCCCACATCAGATTATTTATGTACCATGTGTGTGTGAGTGCCATGCGATCGATTTTTATTATTATTATCTGATTGCAATTTAATTATTAGCGATATTTATATTTTTATATACATATATATTTTTTTTCATTATACTTTAATATTTTATTGAATACACAAACTAAAATTATTATATTACTAATATGTTTAAAATTTGACGTTTTCAAATATTTTTTTTGGGGGGAAACCCCAGACCCCCCATAAATACGCCACTGACTACTAGTATAGGTGCTAACCAGTGGTTGTAGTGTTTTATAAATTTGAGTACCAAGTTGTAATGTACACGTTATCACGTCTTGTATAAATTATAAACATTGTCTTTTAATATTTTAATATAGTTATGAAGTTCACTTTTCATAGTTTCAGTAGTTTCACAGTTATTTCTTATATTAAATGTTAACCATTCTCGTTTGATTCGTTTTTATAGAATTCTGTAGTAGTGTTCTGTTTTAAAATGATGCCCGTGCTCTTGAGGATAATTTCCTTCTGAAAGTTCATTCTTTTCTGGTTGAAATGCTCCTTTGTTGATAATTACTATTTTATCTTCTGGAGTCAAATTAGATTTCAACAAATAATTGGGATCAAATGAACGAATAAGTTCAAATGCTAAGTTGTTTGGTTTATCGATAAATTAAAGGCAACAAAACAAATATTATAAATGGAAAAATTAAATTTAAATTTTAAATTAATAAATACTATACACACATATTAAATTATTGTTTTCATAATTAGTTATACTAATAAATTAAGTGTTGAAGTATACCGATTTAAGAAAAATATTACTTATTTAATTAATTAATTAATTAATAAATCAATAAATAAATACATTTTTCAGTAATTGTAAAAAAATGAACAAAGAAAACATAATAAGTTAAAATAATTAAATATAAAATTCACAGTACATAATTCATATTTTTACAATTTAAAAAAATTATGCTTTACTATATTATTGTTGTATATTGGTAACTATTAACTTAATTATGTGTTTAGGTTCTTAAATCTATTTAATTTGGTTAAACTTCATAGTTTATAGTGTGTGAATTAAGTCTTAGTATTTTAAACATTAACTCATCAAATTAATTTACTACACCAAAGAATGATTAATTACCCCACTCAAAATGATTTATATTTAATCCAGATGAAGGAACACATTGCATTTCACTAACATTTTCGTTGGATAAAGCTGTAGTAGAATTTCTGCATACACATTCAACTTGATTAACTATAAAATATGAATTTTAAATTTTTACATCATTACCAATATTATTTTAAAAAAAAAATGTATATATAATGAAAATTAAATTATGTTTTAGCGCTTAGAACAAAGTACAATATACATAATTATTAGTTTATTCAATTTTAAAACATAATAAATAAATTAATTAATTTAATAGCAATATAGGAATTTAATTAATTAATTTTTTTTTTTTTATTTTATTTAGGAGTATAGGAATTTAAATTACTTGACTCTAACTGATTAGTATTTAGTCCAGCTGAAGTAACATTTTGATTGCAATTTTCATTACTAACATCTGTACTTAAATTTTCATATAACGATTCAAGTTTATCGACTGTGTAGAAAATATGAAATTTATAATGATAAAAATTAATATAATAAGTGATCAAAGTTAACACAATAAATTTCAATATTAAATGCACAGTACAAAATGCAATTTTACAAGTAAAAAAAAAAAAATGATACTTCAATAATATGTTGACATATTATTTAATTTAATTTTACACATGTTTGTGAATATTCCCAACTAAAACACTCAGTAAGTACCTACTGAGAACACAATTTCAGTATTTTTAAATTGTACTTACATCAAGTGAAAAATATTATCATCAAAAACAGGAATAAAAATTAAGGTACATACTTGGTGTTATACATTTATATTATATATGTACATTCTGTGTTGACTAACATGTCACTTAGTTGAACACTTTGAATAATTTAAAATAATTTTATTCTAAAAAGTATTTAGGTAGGTACCTACATTTATTTTATAAACACTAAAAGGACAGTACTTACAGGTAGAGAGTTTTGGTTTTGCATGATTCGATGTGTCTTTTCCAATTTGTATTATTATGATTATTTTTGTCACGTCCACAATACCCACGTGTTAAATTCATATTTATTCAATAATTCGTATCTTAGGGTTTTTATAAAATATCGAATTTCAATTAAATTTTAAGAGAAATTTAAATTAAAATAATATTCAAAAACTGTAACACTGTATAAAAACACTAATCACTAAACAGTCCATACATATTATTTTGGTCACGTTTCAATGTTTCATTATCATTATGACAATTAACAATTCATTTTTTAATAAAAATAATCTTATGAATACGGGTTAATCGACCGCCGACGGTATTACCCAGAATTCATGATCACGTAAGCCAGCGGACATGTTATAACGTTTATTTTTGTTTATTTTTAGTGTCAACGACATAATTAATATTTTTGTCTTTTGTAGTGGGTATAAATATAATATTTGGTAAATATTATTTACCCATCCATGAAAACTGCACACGGATACGCGAAAACTGTACAACTGCATAATATTCTATATCATAATAATTTATTTTATTTCTTGATTTCCTATTCGGATCGATCGATTGTGCGAGATTGTACGATTGTACGGCCAATACACTATCAATATTTGATATTGACTATAATATGGACAGTCAGATCCGGCTCAAGGGGTAAGTGACATAGGTCCACGCGGTCCACGCCTAGGCTGGCATTTTTCCTGTACAATTTTTATGTATAAAATAAATATTTGATAAAATATTTAAACGTAAGGGGCGGCAAAAACTAAATTTCGCCTATATTTGTTTAAACACTTGAGCCGGACCTGTGGACAGTGTATGAATCATATTGAAGCAATCAAAATCGTTTTGATATTTATTGATAGATTTTCAATATTATTGTGCTATTTGTATTACAAGACAATAGCAATAATCACGTTATCTCCACTAAACATTTTGACCGGAACTGAACAATATACCAATTCAATATTATTGATCGTGTAAATGCAAAAAAAAATTGAAACATTTATGCTGGGTTGCACAAACGATCAATAAAAACAGTTCAATAAGCTATGAAACGGTTCAATAAACAGTCGGATAAATAACTTTATTGGTTCCACAAATTTCGTTGCGTTGCACAAATATTTCCATATGATATGCAATAGTTCGTTCGTAGACCGTGGTTAACGGACGGGTACAGTTCTCCCGATTTTTGATAAAAATTGATAACAGCGAACATGATAAGAACAAAAAAAAGCTAATACCAACCTCCAAAGTGTAAATAAAATCCCAATTCCCTTTCGTTTTCCAGCATATAAATGAATAAATAAGTAATTGATTTCATACCAATAGTAATTTTTCAAAAAATGTATATTAAGAAATTTTGTCTTCTATAAAATAAAACCCTGTTTAGTTAGTTTTTAATCAGTGAAGTTAGATTTTAATTGTTTATTATTTAAATTTAATTCATTGATCATACTTTAATATTTTATATCATAGTTAATTTATATTATGTACTATAATTTATCATACATTTAAAATATAAATATTTTTGATTCTACTAATGTCTTATAGAATTAATCAAATCTTTGATATCTCTACACGAGTACTAAAGGAATATTTATTAAAAAAAAAAAAACAGATTTTAACTTATTTGGATTTTAAAAACAATAGTTAAGTCATTAGAATATGTACTGAAAAAAATTATTGATATTGAATAATTAGTGTCAAATTTATTGAGTTTTAAGATATTTTTTAGTTTTCATTATTATTTTGGTTGAGTTAATTATATTACAATCTTCACATTTCTATCATTTATTAATCAAATAGTATAGATTTTAAATTTTATACTTACCGGATACATGTGTATTTATAGTAATAACTTGTTGAATTTAATTAATTATACTGGAGGCATGATCTTTTTTTAGGATTATGGGGATGGTGGCGCATTTCCAGAAATTCAAGTTGCTCAGTATCCATTGCATATGGGGAAAGAAAATAAAGAATCCGAATCTAATGCATTAGCATTACAATTAACATCTGATGGCAAAGTGAAGTATGATGTGATTGCTCGGCAAGGTCACAGAAAAGATAAAGTGATATATTCAAAATTATCTGATATGCTACCAACTGAGGTGATCAACGAAGATGATCCATTGCTACAAAAACCAAATTCGGAAGAAGTTGCAGAGATAACTGATAAAACCAGAGCTGCGCTAGAAAAAATAACTAGTTCCAAAGTATCAGCTGCATTGCCTGTACGAGCTGCGGACAAACTGGTAAATATTAGTCTTTTTATTATTATTGTATTTTATTTGTTTAATTTATTCTCTTATTCTAGGCTCCTGTTCAATGGTTTCGATATACTCCTTCAGAACAAGGAAAAGAATATAATTCTGGTTCAAAGCAACGTGTTGTAAGATTAGTCGAAGCACAAAAAGATCCCATGGAACCACCCAAGTTCAAAATTAACAAGAAAATTCCAAGAGGTCCTCCATCACCACCAGCTCCTTTAATGCACTCGCCTACTAGGAAAACAACTGTGAAAGAACAAAAAGAATGGAAAATTCCTCCATGTATATCTAACTGGAAAAATTCTAAAGGTTATACAATTCCTTTAGATAAACGTTTAGCTGCTGATGGTCGTGGCTTACAACAAAATCATATTAATGAAAAGTTTGCAAAATTAGCTGAATCATTATACATAGCAGATCGTAAAGCTAGAGAAGCTGTTGAAATGAGAGCACAATTAGAAAAGAAAATGGCTCAGAAAGAAAAAGAAAAGAAGGAAGACCATCTGAGAGCAATGGCTCAAAAAGCAAGGGAAGAAAGAGCTGGTATAAGATTACCAAGTGCCAAAAATGATGAATCACGTGAACGTGATCAATTGCGTTTAGAACGCCAAAAAGAAAGAGCACGTGATCGCAATCTTGCTCGAAATGCAGACAATCGCAAGACCAAAGTAATGAGAGATCGAGATATAAGTGAACAAATTGCTCTTGGACTACCTGCTATCTCTAGGAAAACAGGAGAAACCCAATACGATCAAAGATTACTTAACACAACGTCTGGTATGGATACTGGTTTTGGAGATGATGAAGAGTATAATGTTTATGATAAGGCTTGGCGTGGAAACAGTTCTTTGGCTCAACACATTTATCGTCCATCAGCCAATATTGATAACGATGTTTATGGAGGAGATTTGGAAAAAATTGTTAAAACTAACAGGTTAAATTCTTATTTTACAGTCATTAAAGTCCAAATAATTATAATTAAAAATATATAAATGTAATAAATTAAATTTGATATTTTCACAGATAAGAACCTTTTTTTGATAAACATTTAATTAACTTTTTTAAATTATGTTTTTTATTACTGAAGTCTTCATTACATTAATATTCACAATTTTAAGTTCTTGGTTACTCATTTAGCCTATTTAAAAATAAATTTGCTAAAATAATATTTTTATTAAACCTCTTAACTTTGAAAACATGATCCAACATTTAAAATTATATTTTAGTGTTAAGACTGATGAACTAACAATTTTTTATGCTTTTTTGTTATTTTAGATTTGTACCAAATAAAGAATTTAGTGGTACTGATCGTGATCCTAAAGCTGGTGGTCGATCTGGTCCAGTTCAGTTTGAAAAACATCAGCAAGAAGAAGATCCATTCGGTTTGGATCAATTTTTGACACAGGCTAAGCATGCGTCGAAAAGATTACAATCCCAACAACAACCCGAACGTGAAAAACGTCACAGAAGAGAATAACTCAGTTATTCATGATTTGATTTTTAAAGGCTACTCCATTAATCACTAGAATTATTTTTATTATGTTCAAATTATGTGTTAGTATACATTATATTTGTTATGTAATAAAAACTACAACTCATAAATATGTGTCTTAAAAATAGTTTATTTTTAAATTATGAAATGCACTTTTTTCAAACATTATTTTCAAAATTATAGTCAACATTAAATAGATTATTTACTTTATGCGTTTTTAAACATTATATATAATATCACCTTAAAGAGAATCACAATACAGTTTACTTAGATTTATAATTCTAAAAAATATAGTGTGGGCCTCACACTTTATTTACTTAATGAAATACAAGAGTAAAAATAAACATGTGACCAATGTCGGTCTGCCCCACCCAGATATCTGGCAATTACCAAGGGCCTTGAAATAAATTCTTAAAATAAGGGCCCAACCAGGGGCAATCCACAATTGGAGAACTGTGTGTCAAGCTATATCAAGAGGCCATCTATTAAGGTGAAAGTGGATTATAAATATACTGTAACAAAAAAAAACAATATGATTATATAATGCCGCGTCCACACCCCTATGTAACATTGTTATATAACAGTGTTTTATTATATATTATACAAATTTGATTAAAATGTTTTATAACATATATAACCATATTATTTAGCAAAATTTGTTTTCCACCAATAACGAAAAATATCACAAAACAATTAAATAACATTTAACATTTCAAGCATAGATACAGGAATTTATTAGTTTATTTTAAATTTAAATTTAAGTTTATTCCCTTATTATTTTGGTATTTAAGTATTATTGTTCAATTTTTTTTGTGTATCGAATAATATTGTTATATTTTTGTACTTACTGTATCTTATACTGAATTATAGTAAGTATGGATAATTAGTTAATTATTATCATATTAAAATTATTAAAAAAAAATCACTTTTATATATTCTCGTAGGCTATCTACCAATGCGTCACAGACTTCTGGTATTATGTTGGAAATTACTTGTTTAAACACTTTAAATCAGGGATGGAAAACCTTTTTAATTTTTTTCGTTTTCGTTTTTGTTTATTGATTTAAAAAATATCGTTTTTGTTTTACATTTTTAAACGTTTTTGATTAACATTTTTGATAATTTTGTTAATTTTTTTTATATATATTCTTATTTCTTATACCTAACTTATAATAGTTATAATGAATATTCAATATACTGAATTTAGGAACGCACTTAAGTTATAATTAATTATTCTTAATATTTAAAATTTAAATTTCAAATTAAAAAGTTTTTAAAAATTACAATGGTAAAGAGTAAGTATAGATGTAAAGTAAAACACTATTTCAGATTTCTATAAAGTCATGTTATTGTTACAATTAACTATAATAGCCAATAGGATAATGAGTAGTAGTTTATTTAATTTTATAAATAGAAGTTTTCTCGTTGATACATTTTACACGGTATACCGTTTATACAGTTTTTTACGGTATACCGTTTAGACGGTTTTTTACGGTATATCGTTTACCAAAATAATTTGAAAAGACCGGTATATCGAAATACCGGTACACCGGTATTTACGGTACACCGAAAATACCGTTAGCTCTAGGGACATTTAACAACATTTATTTTAATTTTTGAAAATATTTATTTTGGTTCGATTTTGATCAAGAGAATAAAAATGTATTAACTAGAGCGGTTATACCTAGTTCTGTTAAATCACGTCAACAATATTTCAAGATAAAAATAAAAATAACATTCATTTAAATTTTATTCTATATTGTATAGTAAAATAAAACATTTCTATGTCAGACCCCACGTAAGTTTCCATAAAATAAATGTTTACCATGATAATTATGAATAAACTTAAAAAACAAATATTATATGATCATATTAATTTTTTTGTTACAACAAATATATTTATAATCCATATTCGGCTCTAATAAGTGGCCTCTTTAAATAGTCTGACGCGTATTTCTCTAACTGTGGATCCACCCCTGAACGAGAGATGGACTTTTCAACTCCATTTTAAACGTACTTTGAATGACATTTTGTACGAGAACTTCGGTAGATGTCCAAGATGGTCAGAATGGACGTAAACCTGTGTCATGAATTAGAGAAACACGAACGTGGTCTCAGATATAAGGTTTGACAAGTGGAAACCGCGCTCAACTCGTCAAGAAATAATTTCACTGACATTGTGTACTACATTTTCTCGACGTATATGTTTACCCGAGTTGTGTGTAATGTATTTTTTGTGGACATTTTTTCTGCTTCCTTGACCGAGATAAGGTTTATCAGTTACTAGCGAGACACTTTCTCTTTGCAACAAGCCGCCGAAAGGTCGTTTACTTGGCGCTTATCACTTATTGGCGATCGCGGTAAGCGTCTTAAACACCAACATTTATTATTCACCGCAGTCCAAGATCATGTGTAGGCGGCTTCGAAAACTTCAGTCAGGACATATAGTCCCGGAATCTATCATCGTTGACATCGTCAAGTAGCTCAACGAAAACTGGAACAGCGACGGTTTCGTTTCAACTGTTTCGTGCACGGTAAGACATAAATCCCGGTAAGTCTTTCCTGAATCGCGTGGCGTGTTGCGTACCAGTTTACATCTGGCGGTGCGCACCTCCCACCAGCAAACCGTCTGAACTTTATAGAAAATTTATCGTTACTTGTCGGTCGTGTTCGGAAACGAACTTCCAAATGGCCGCCGCACGATAACGGTAATTTGGGAAGTTAAATAAAGGTCCGTGCTTTTGCGATCGCTATTCGGTAAGGGCAGAACCGCTTGAGACTATAGTTTCCTTTGCAGACGGAGTGTAACTTCGTGATGGATACTCAATTTCTCATTCGTCACTGATCCGCGGTTGCTTAACCGGCACCATCCATCGTTACCCGAAGTCCATATAATTAAACATTTCATATTATAATCGTCTTAATCTTCAGTTCGAATTATCATAATATTTATCTACCACGTTATCATTTATCTTGAAAATAAATCATGCAAATATAACGAAAACCTCTTGGATTGGTGTGTAACACATCCGATTTATTTAATTTGATTGTACATTATATAAACAGTACCCTTGGTATTTTATTTGCCACGTCCATCTTTCATTCTTTTTTTTTTTTAATTTAAATACTTCCTAGTCTTATTTGATTAATTTGCTTCACTTTGATTTTTATAATAAATAACGAATAATTAAATAATATTTTGATCAATTAAACTAAACATTATAAGTTTGTGGTAATTGGTCTACTGATCTTTGTATACGTGATTCATTATTATGATAAAAACAATGACTTTTTACTTCAACATCAACAAAAAAACCGCTTGTAATATTTGTTATATTTAAAAAATGTTTGTATGTTTTATATTTCAGTATTACAAGTATAATAAGTTTTCAAGAGTGAAGTACAACAACTACAATAAAACTTAATACAAAATGTCGTCTAAAACATACGATTCATCATATTCTAAAACTGGTAATATGTCTTATTTACATAATTAAAAAAAATATTGCCATAATTTAATTCAAAAGACAATTTGTTATGTTTAATCGAATTCAAAAGAAAATTTCAATCATATCAGATCTGAATAAGCACTAATACAAAGGATATCTTATAATTTTTCTCTCATATTTGTGTTTAACATATAAGGACCATTTATCTAGTTATGAACATTTCAGGGGCGCCAATTCAGTTTTAAAATAGGGTTGCGAAATGTTTACCAGGCCACATTTTTCTACTACCAGGCCACAGTTATAGCAATGAAAATTGAAATGTAGGTATGACACTATGTTTCAATTATTTCTTATCTTACTATTAGGGATGAAAAATAAATCTGGAATAAAAATAGCTAATAGCAAAAGAAACTGCAAAATTAAAATAGAACCCTATGCTTCCAATAGAACTTCTACTTTTTTTAGATTACAGTAGTTATAAGCAAGCAACTTTTTTTGTATTTAATATACTGTTATGTAATTTAGATTACACCGTCATCTATAAGCCTAATTCAAACATTAATTAATTGAATTTAATACATTTTAGATACATCGGGCATCGGCGCTAACATGAAATTAAGGCAGGCCAATTATGATACAGGGAAAAATAGGGTCGCTAATATACATATATAGTATACCCTGCGATACTCCAAATGGCACCCCTGGAACATTTATTTTTCATATGCTATGAATCGTTATATCATATCTGATTTATTTTTTTTATGTAATAGATATGTCCAAATCAGAAATGAAACATTTTTGTACTTATTGTCAAGATGAAATCTCAAGTGTTCCTTGTCAGTCCAACACTGCTAATAATTCAATGACTATTTTTATTCATTGTGCAATATGTGAAGATATTTTTCTTTGTTTAATGGTAATTTCTATTAATATGTATTATAATTGAAAAGTTATATCTAATAATAATTAATTTACTAATTATTGTTATCGCAATTATTAATTTTTTTTTTTTTTTTTATATTATCATCGTATTGTAATTAAAAATCAATTTTTGAATATTTTCTTTCAAATTTAGACTATAGAGTATATTTATTTGTGTTATTTGGTATGTAATTTTTAATTACTGATTAAAAATTTTGGTTCAGTATCAATAAAATTGATTTCAATCCCCTATACAAGTTGAACAAAGGAACAAATATATGTAATTTAAGTTTGATTAGGTAAAGTACTTTATTTTCATATGAAGAAAATTTTATTTTTAATTGCAGTTTTTAAGTCTAATAGGACAATATTAAAAAAAAAAAATGTCTTTTAATATTATTATTATATTATTTATATTCTTCTTATAAAAATGCATATTTGCTTATTTTATTCATCATTAATTAAATATATTTTTAAGATCAGTATAATTTTTCTTTTAAGTTTATGTTTTATATTTATTTGCCTATGATTTTAGTGTTTTTCCAGTGGTGCTGAAATTGGCAATCACAAGAACAATCATGATTATAAATTAGTTGTAAGAATAAGTTATATAATAAATGATTTTGGCATAATTTAATACAGTTTTTTGTTTATTGTAGACATTTTCTAAATCAAATTTATATGCAGTTAAACTCTTGAGTGCTTTAGAAGAATGGATTTCCGAAGATACTGAAAAATACCTCAATACCAGAAGACTTGTACTTAGCTGGAAAGATGTTGCTAGTTTTGTTGGATCTGAAAATCCTGAAGGTATTATTGTATTATATATTTTTAAGCAAAATGTTTTATTATTACTTCTGTTAATTATAATGAGTATGTTACAAAAGAAAAAAATATTCAGCTACCTTAAAACATTATTTTCTTCAATTTATCGTAATATATTTAATCAATATTCTTAATTTAATAATAAAAAATGAGATTATAATTAATAAATTTTTTTACTTTTTCAAGTGCTTAATATAAAAAATAATTTATATTTTATTTAATAACTGTAATTTAAAGTTAAAAAAATGTACCCAAGATGTTTGTGATAATTATTTATTTATTTTATTATAATGCCTTTAAAAAAATTAGCTATTTACATATATATATATAATTTAATTACAAAAAAGTAACAGTAAATAACTATTCAAATTATTATAGAGTTAGGTTTATTTTTATGGCGTAATAAAAATGCTTACATTTAATGAAATTCGTAACTTTTTTCTTTGTTATAAATATTTATTAGTCTAAATGGTTTTATATTGCGCTTGAAAAATTAAAAAAGAAACAAAATTATAATTACCAATAAATTGTCATTTATATAATGACCATTAATTGAAACTGGTTTAAAAACTACTTTTCTAATTTATTTTCCGTGTTTAATTCAATGTCAATTTATATATATGCATTAATACAACATAAATACCTTATATTTTTTTACCAAGACATTTGATATACATTTAATTATTCACTTTAAGCTAGAAAATAAACATTGAACACGGGTATTGATGGTAGTATAATGAATTATAATAAATTATGGTACATATAATTAAATAATTCAAATTTCTTGAACTCCAATAATATAAAGAATTTATATTATATACTAACCTTCTCCATAGTATATTAATTTAAAAAGCACACGTGACCGAATAGTTTAAAAATTTACATAACTAGGGTCCGTGGGATGCTTGCATCCCTAAAATGTTTGTAATATCTACCCATTTATACACTAAAAAATGACTAAATATATATTCAAAATATGAAATATGCATTTTAACAAAAAAAAAAAAACACCAAAATATGCAGAGTAAAATTTATTTTATCTTTGGTATTAAAAATTAATTATAATTTATAATTATTTCATTTTTATTAGTTGTTATTTTTGTATTTTATATTTTTTTAATATTATATACAAATTTACAAAATGAGTGTTATACTGTGATACAATGTTTATTTTAATTTGATCAAACTTGAATCCAAAAAATATTTTAGACAAAAAACAATTATATGAATATTTAATTTATTATTTATCTACTTGTTATTTAAATTATTTCTAAAAAAGATCAAAAATCTAGTGAAATATGCTTTTAAAATATGCAAAGCAAAAATAGTTTTATTTGATTCAATATAACATGAATCAAATTCGTTTTCAAATCCGTATTAAATAATTAGCTCAATATAAAAATAAAAAAAATGTGCAATTTTATAAACATCCAAACCTTATCCATAACCAAAAAAAATACTATTTCACATTTATATATTTAGGTATTACGTATTAACGCAATTATAATATAATAAATAATTTAAATAAATATAAGTGATCTTTAAATATTTACCAATAAAAATATAACAATTATATATTTACTATAGTCACTAGAACCTTTAGGCTTATATTGAGTATATTCAAAGTAGAAAGACCCAAAAGTGTATTATTATTTCTTACGTGAATTTGATAATTAATTATTATTGTTTTTTTTTTTTTTTTTTAGAAGTAAAAAAAGAGTACTATCAAACTTATGTTGATGGACCATTAGGCCAAAATATTATTAAACTGGTAAATAATTATGTTGGTTATCGTTCAATTATGACATTAGATCAAGCCTTAAAAATGAAATGTTTTGAAAGTTGCCCCACTTATTTTCCTACGAGTAAAGTAAGTATGTTTTCTAAAATTATAATTACGACTGATTAAAATCTATATTTTAATCATATAACTCGATAATCATGTAAATTGAATTAACACCTATTAACTTTGATACAACCATTTTTTAAAGTCAGAACTCAAGGATTGATGATTATTTAAAAAAAAATAGTAACTGAAAAATGTATATGCTACGGTTAAAGTATGAAAATTGGGTAATGTACACATCATCCGGGTAATGTAATCACTACCCATGCTTATTGGATAAAGTATACATATTTGTAAAACATTTATTTTTAGTTACATTAACCGGGTAATTTATACATTATCTACCTTTGAGTGAACAAAGTGTTTTCATGAAATAAAATACGACAGTATACAAATTGTAGATAATACAACAAAATATAAATTATACATTATGATAAATCGTGTGCATTGATATTGTATAATAATTTTAAACTTCAGTACGGTGCTATCGATTTTCAAGTTCACTTGTTTGGTTCATTAATGTTTGATAATTTAGTTTTTTTTTTAAAAAGAGAAATTATATGACAGTTTTAATAAATTAATTTATAAAAAGAATGAGAGTTCGGTAAATTTAACGAAATCAAAGTATTATAACATATTATATGATTAAAAAAATGTATGAAAACTAAAGTCAGTTCGTCTGGCCTTTCTATCCGGCCGATTTCCTTCATTTTTTTTTTTTTAATAAAAGGTATTTGGGCTCAAATATGTCATCAAGTCATCAATCATTGAAATTTACTCAACTCCCACCAACGTGATTCTTCCCTGTACATTTCTTATGAGATACATTCACTCAAGCAATTCAAATTTTCATAGCTCCTCTTCTAATGAATGGATCTTGATCGTTTCACTCTCAGAACACTTAGTGGATCAAGCTATTTCTTTTGAGCATTTAACTGCTTAAATTCGTTGAGTTTGAGGAAAGTTATGTGTGCACTATCAACTTTACTTTCAATTTTTTCCAAATATTATATTCTCATTGGCTCTTAACCAGTGATATAACAACAAACAACTCACAAACAATACTAATATTATTACTTATATTAGTTAATATTGTTTGGAAGGAATCACTATAAAATGATTTTATGTAATAATTACACCCTCTCATACATAGTCTATCCTAATGCTGCGGAACATATATGTTAATAAACACTCTCTGTCATTTCGATATGTCTTTTAACTTTCGATATAATAGTTATTTATTGATTTGTTAAAATGTGTTTATATATTGATTCGATTTCACCTATACTTTTTATTATATAGATAAATTATCTATTGCAAATTTTCGCAATGGGTATACTAGTATTATAAGAAATAAGAACCGTGAAAAAAAAACAAATAAATCATAATGAACATTTTATAAATATTTTACTATTGTCGGCTACAAAAAAAACATTTATGTGAAATAGCTAATGCACAATTTCTTTTCGATGGTCAAAGTATTAAAAAATATAAAAATTATAAAAATAATAGTTTAATAAATAAATGTACGAGTAAATGTAAATCTGGGAAGATATTTTGCAACTCAAAATACCACCTGAATCTGAACTGTTCCAATAATTAACTATATTTAATTTTATAAATTTTTTTATATATAAAATAATAACTTAATAATACTTACATAATTTACTTAATAATTTTTTTTTCGGATGAATATGATTTGGTTTTTTTTTTCTACTTTATACCTTATCCATAGCACACTGGATAATGTACATATTATACTATTCATATGAATTAGGTGTACTTTACCCGGGTAATATGTAAACTACTCATTTTCTAACCTTACCCGTAACATATATATGTCGTCATAACTTCTAAAAAATTATCCAAAATAACAAAAAAATAAATACTAATAATTATTAAAGCAAAATAAACTTTTTGATATTTTGTAATTTTTAGACATTTATAAATATAGAATTGGATGAGTACTTGATTTTATAAAATTTTTTGAGTCAAAGTTTTCGGAAAAAAATGTTCTCATAAATACGAGTATTCGATTTTGCTCGACTTAAATTAAGTATTTAAGTTGAATCAATTGCTCAAATGTATTTCATTCTTTATAAAAAAAATAAATGTTAAAACTATAAATAACTGGGAACTAAATATTTCCGATAGGAAATACCCGTAAGATATCTGATTTTAAATTATTAACAGTAAATTGTTATAGTTTAGATATTTTATTACCATTTTATTACCATTTTAATACCATTTTATTCAGATAGGTAACCACGACTTTTTTTCTTAAGTACCTACTCGAATTTTGAACTCGACTTGACTTGATATCGAAAAACAATTCTCGTCCAACTCTAAAATATTGATATTTACACATATTGCTTAATATTAGTATATAAAAATAATTTAAGACGACTTGTTATCATTTTATTTTATTAATGTACTTTTATGTTATTTATGGATTTTGCAGTTTATAAGATTTCCAGAAGATAAAGAAAAAGAAGACGGTTATATGATTTATGAGGAATCATACAATGAATTTGAAAAATATGAGGTAATATATTGAAATAATAACAATATACCATTATTTTATATAATATATATATATATAAGGTATATATAATAATATATAATTCTCTTATTTTTGCAAATCATACTTCCAAAATAAGATAACTAAATTTGAAAGAAATAAATATTACATAAATGTACACACTATAAATCAGAAATTAAGATTTATTTATTTATAAATTAAGTCTTATCTTATAAATTGTTTGAAGTTTTTGACTGATATTCCAATCATAATTGCAAACGTTTTAACATTTTTAAATTCTTTTGGTATGTCAGCGTTTGTTTGGTTTTATCTCAAATTATTATAAGTAATTTGTATTTTTTTTTTAATCTTGAACCTGCATACAAAAAAATATTTAAATATTCCCATCACAAAATGAACTATGTGGGCAACAAGCTTGAAGATCTTATAGGCCATAGAATTACTCCATGGATACCAATTCATCGGTCAGGAAAAATATAATTTTAATATTATCGAAAAATTATGGCGTTGTGTACTGATGATCTTGTAAATACATAATTTCCCGTGTGGCTAGTGTAACATTTTCTAAAATTAGTATTTATTTACATGAAAATCTAGATATTTTCTACTTAAAAGTGTTCCGTCATAAAAATATAGACCTTAAAGTTTTCCACCAATTAACCCACACCACATTTATACCCCAAGCTGCATGAAAGTTAGTTTCTTGAGAAAAGTGTGAATTTGTATTATTATCCCAAAATCTATGGTTTTGCTTATTTATTATATTATTATTTGTACATTTAGACTCATTAGTCCACAAATATCACTAGAGTCTTCTTTATTTATGTCTTATCTGTTTACAAATAGGTATTTAACAATATCAGAGATATTTCAATTTTCAAGTATTAAGTTGAACATAATTAAATTTTTGTCAAAACCAAATTATTCGTAAATATTAAACTTCAACATATTATAACTTTACCAATTTTCTAATTAAAAAAAAAACTTTTTTTCATGAAAATTGTTAAAAAAAAAATGGTGTTGACATTTAAAAAAAATTAAATGGAATTGTTCATGCACATATTATCTGTGTCAAAAATTTGAAATTTGTCTAAAATTGTGTATTTTGGTACTCCCTTTTTTTCCCCCGAAAACCCTATTTTAATGCAATGTCTCCTAATTGTGTAAGTTTATAATATATACTTTTAGATATAATATAACAAATAGGAAAATTGATTTTATTAGATATTTTTAGTCATTGTATGTGTATACTGTTATTAAAAATTATGTGAATTTTTTTTTAAATTTAATAACACTCTAATGACACTCTAATAATGTAATTATTTTACATTTGTGCATAGTATAATGCTTATGGTTCAATATACATGATGCCTATATAATATTTACTTACTTTTTCAATTTATATTATATTATTCTATAAACTATAAAATATTTTTAGTTATATTTATATAATTTCTTACTATTTTCTAAATTATTTTATTATTTTATTTTAGGATATGAAATTTTACGAAGAAACGCTTGATAGTTATCAACTTCAATTATTAATACAATGCACTAGCGAGTTTGGGTATGGTAATTGGGATGCTATTTCTAAACTGTATAACTCTATCATACATGAAGAATATCATAAAGAAAAATGGAATTATCTATCAGAACAAAGTGATTTGCATTTTTATTTAAATTTTCTTCATATTATTTTTTTGTAGCACATTATAAAACTGTAAGAAGGATCTATTGTTAATTTATAATTTTAGTCTGAAATAAAATGTGCATTTATTGTTTTGCTATAACACATTTTAAAACAATATGATGGAATAATAAAATGGTTGTGTTGTAAAATAAAATATTTGCTACCTGATTCAATACCTTCTTCATACCTACATTGGCGCCGCGAAAGAGGTGCAAAGTGATGCACTTGCATCCCCTGGATTTAAAAATAAAATAAAACAATCATTTTGGATAGAGGCTATTATCACTATTGGATTTTCTAGTAGTCTTCATGACTTTGTAATCATTGAAAAAATCATACAATTTCAAAAATATTCCTACATATTTAACTTAAATAATTTAAACATTATTTAGAAATCAGGGTATATACTATGCATGATGACAAAATTTCTGGTGGCGCCTATTAATACAAATGTATTATAATGTATAGTGTGTAATCACATTATAATATATTCATTTTTTATTTGTACATTATAAACAGGAGTCAAAGAAGAATATACACTACGTTTTATTCAAAATCCATTATTATGTGGAACTTGGTTACCATTGGAGCACACAAGACCTTTGATACCTGATCGAACAAATCGTATACAAGGCCCTAAAAATGGATTTGAAGATTATTTAAAAAAAGTAGGAAACTGTAATTTTATAGTTTTACTTTTTTTTACTAAATTAATGTAAATTTTTAATTAAGTTTTATTATTATTATTTAAGCAACTTCCCATAGATGATTTGGATATATTTTTTTATCCACCTCCATTGAATAACTATAGAACAGATAAAGATGAATTCCATTCTTCTTGTGAATATTCAAACAATAAACCAGAGAAACTATCTGAATTAAATCGTATGCAAAAATGATTTTTAGTTAAAAATATCTTAGTATCATAATTATATTATTTATGTTTTATTCTAGCTTCAGAATGTGTCTACTGTCAAGAAGAATTTGCTGTTATTGGATATCGGATCGATAATCATAAGTTTTCAAACTATAAGACCATTACAAAGTATTCTTGTTGTACAAATAAACAAACATGTGAAAATATGTATCTATGTCTTTCGGTTAGTTATGTATAAATTAAAATTTTTGAATGAAAAATACATATTTATTTGCACCAATAAATGTAAGTTTAATAATAATTCATACTATATCTATGAAGTGTTTAGGAAGTGGAGCAGAAATTGGAAGACACAAGAGATATCATAATTACAAATTAATAACTGAAGTTAAGGTTTGCATAAACTGTGTTTTAATAATTTTAAATATTTTTTTTATTTTTATTTAAATTGACTACTATATAATATAATTTTATTTTATTTTTTCAGCTTTATTCTAGTCAAAATTATTTTCATGAAACAGATTGGACGGCTATGGAAGAATTGGCATTTCTATATGCATTAGAAGAATGGACATGCAAAGAAACAGAAAAATATATAGATCCTATAAATTCTGAAAATTTGATTAACGATTGGAATAATGTTTCCCAGCATGTTGGATCAAGAAATGCTAATGGTATGCCTAAAACAGATATTTATAGAATGTTAAATTTTTATTAATTAAGTTTAATAGAATAAGTAATTAAAAATGTTCAATTTTCTTTTATATCGAAAAATTCACAAATGTGTAGATTTTGGATTGATATCAAACTTAATTGATATATAAAAATAAAAAATCAATGCAAAAATTTTATTGTAATTTTTCCGTTTTCAACAAATTTCAAAGTTAGATATTTATTTATTTTATGTATACTTAATTGTGTAGTTACTGCCACATGACAATTTAACAATTTTTTGTTTGATTCAAAGCTAGTTCCATTAATCGAGAGTTCATAATGAAAAATTATTTACAGTAATAGCTATGAAAATTAATATTGCTATCTTACATTTATGATTCACAGAGACTAATGTACATCTTTTTTTAAATTGTATTTTAAGTAACACACATTTTACATTAAAAAAAAAAAAAAAAAATTATTATCATAAAAATATTAGCTATCAATTCTAATTAAAAATTTGTTTACATTTCTTAATAAATTATAAAGTAAAATTGCAGTTAATATATATTTCAATAATTATAATTATAGAAGCGGAAATTGAATTTGAACATTTTATTTCAAATCAAAGAATTTGGAAGTTGGTAGCATTATACACAGGTACTGAACCTTTAATTACATATGAAGAAGCAGTTGAAATGGGGTGTTTCGAAAATCATAATAATTACTTTAGTGTAAGTAAAAAATTGTTTTATAAAAAAATTAATAGTTAAAATATATTTTGTTAAAACAGATGATACCCTTTTGGTATTGATAATCCATTAAGGTCAAAATAAATAATAAAGAAAATCACAAAGAAAGAGTCTTAGAATTGATGAATTTGAATTATCGTCACAATTTTTATAATCATTCTGAATTATTCTTAATTTATTATATTTTACTAACAAATTTTTAACACTTTCAAGGTAATTTTTTATATAGCTGAAAATGAATGAATTAAAATATTATAGACTTTTCTAATTTTATAAACGGATACTAAAATGTTTTGAAGTATAATGTATAAATTAATTGTTTGACTTTTTTTAAAGTTGAAGTGTATAAACCTCTTATTCAGTTTTTGAACTTTCATTGTTTTATACAACTGTTTCAATATTGAAACTACTAATTTATTATGTAACTACTTTCGAAATGTTAACTTATATTATTAATTTAAGGTTAAACTTTTATCTCAAATCATGAATTCTCATAGAAATTATTTTCAAACATCATTTTAAAAGGCTCTATTTTTTTTTTTATGTGATTACCCTTGTATTAAAGTTTTATTAAGTTAAATTATGTTTGATAAAATTAGTTTAAATATAAATAAAACTACACTAGTTATTAGCAAAATGTAAAAGTGTTCTAATTATTATTTCAAAAAATTTATTAATACTGAACTTTTAAAATTAAAATTATTTGAAATTGAATATTTAAGTTGATACATATTTTTATTATATTTTTGTAGCAATAACTTAATTTTTATTTTATAGGCTTTAAATCGTTCACAAAAAAATATTTGGAATAAATCTGATTTAAAATTATTATTTGATTGCATGACTATTTATGGTTATGGTAATTGGCAAACAATTACAATAGAATTCAACAAAATTATGGCTGATAAATATTTTGGAAATCAATGTGTAATAAGAACACCTGAAGGTATTTATATATATATACCTTACTTATTTTAATTTATACTGTAGAATTTTGATTATCTACATCTAGTCTAAGAAATAAATATAACAATTAATGTATGAATTTTATTTGATTAATATAAATATCAACTTATCAAGATTTTACTGTGCCAATATGATTTTTTGTAAAAAAAATATGTTAATTATAATTGTATGTATATATATAACATGTCTTGTTGTTATTTTTCGCTATAGAAATAAAACACGAATGTTTACTTCGATTCTATGATAGGCCTATTAGGCAAAGAAAATGGAAGCCACCGTCTAACTCTAGACCAATCATATTTGATCGTACACATTATTTTAAAGAACCTGTTAATTTGAAATATCCTGTTATGAACTCCAATTTATTTATTCAAATTGGTTATGATTATGTTAATGATGAATTTGAATATGTGAGTAAAAGTTAAATTTTTAACTATATTAATTTTTATTGTTATTTCAAAATTATTTATTGATTAGCCTTATATGGATCATGCTGAATCTCTTTTGGACCTTATGGGAGATTTTGAAATTAAACCAAAACTTCCTTCTGAAGACAAGTTTAAAATGGTACGGAATATTTGAAATATTATTATTGTTATGTATTTCTATATGTAAATACCATATTAGATCAGAACTATAAATTTAACTCTTTTATATTCATAATAAAATAAATAAATTTATGGTTTAAATTATAAATCAATAACTTAAAATATTTGGTTAATATTAAAACTATATTTTTGTGTTTTTTTACCCTATTATAGAAATTAAAGGATCAGTTCAATATAGAACCTTACTTGAATATTGAAGAAGGTAGAGCTATAATCATTAAGATGTTTATTGGTTCATTTTTAATGTTATTATTTAAACTTTTACAGAAAAAACCATTATATCCTGTAAACAGTATAATGAAGTTTTAAATCAACGAAGAATAGCTAAAGCATGTGTCCACAGTTATAGATTAATTGAACAATTTGCAATTTACAAGGATAAACAATTGCCAAAAATAAAACCGTTGTGAGTAACATTATACACAACTTTATTAAACTGTATAAATTAATGATAACATAATTTTATCTTACCTTTTTTTTATTTTGTTTCACCATGAGTTATTGTCAAATTGTTCTTTAACCTATATAAAAATCGATTATGTTTACACAGTTTTATATGATTTACAAATGAGTAAATGTAAATAATAATTTTCTTATTAGTTAATAGTTGTTTTTATTTATTTAATAATGTATATATTTTTAAGTTCTGTACAGTCCTTTGGAGAGCGGCTAGTTAAAATGTCAAGATTCATGACTCTTGACATTCATAGGTCTTTGATTGAAGGAGCCAAAAATGAAAAACTTTTGGCACATCGATTAAAGGAATTACAATTTTACAAAATTATAGGTTTAAAAAAATTAAATGAAATCGATGTGTTTAATAAATTACATCAAAAGGTAAATACAGTAAAAAATTAATATTGGCCAAATAAAATAATTTTTATACTTTCTAATTCCTCTATCAATATATATATATATATATATCTGTTTTTCTTCAACTTTAGAATTTATCAAAAATACTTGATACTGATTCAGAACGTCAATCATCAAATGAACTAATTCCTTCTGGATCTGACGGAAAAAGGTATAATATACCATTACCGGACTATCTATTATTAGTTTATTATAAATTGATTATTTATTTACTCATTTATATTTTAGAATAATAAATTATGTTCAAAGTATATGTTCCACATTATCTACATCTCAACATTCTCAACCTGTCCAAAACAAATTGGGATATTTACCTAATGATAAATGCGAAGAATTATTAACAAGAAATGAAAAAATGGTATTTTGAATATAACAATTTATTAGTATAATAACTTCAAGTTAACCTATTATGAAAGATTAATTATAATTTTTGAACTATTTTTTATTTATTCCAGTTATGTCAAAAATATAATTTAGATCCAAATTATTATTTGAATACAAAATTCAAAATATTAAATGTAAGTTCTTACATTAAATTATAATTAGTAATCATTATTTTAACCCTTGCATTTTTGTGCAAATAAGTGATAAGGACATCTGAAAACTACTTATAATAATTTATAAGTATTAAAAATTGTTAAATTTAAAATTTAAAGATATTTATCCTAATTAAATAATGTAAAATTCCATCTAGAAATGCATACTCTTTTTATTGTACATTTAATTTTAAATTAGGTATATTTTATTAGTACAGTTTTCTTATTTTAAATAAATGTATATGAAATAAATAATAATTATTAATTAAAGAACTTTAAAGTATTTAGTAGGAAGATAGTCTAGCCAACTATATTAATAATGGTAATAATAATCATATTAGTAATAATTATAATTTATTATTTAATTCTTCAAATATTAATGTTTTCAAAATGTATCATAACATTTATATCATTGGGATGCCACAAGATATATTGGTGGACATTTGCTACCGTTTAATGAATAGCAATTATGCTTTTTTATTAATTTTTATTTTAACACATCTTGTTATGCAGTTATACAAACGGAATTATTCATAAGAATTTTATTATTTTATTGATAAATAATGTAAGATTAAATTTATATTTCTCAAAAACATTAATATTTCATTTTTACAGATTGGTCTTCAGGAAAATTCTCCGAAAATTGATTATATTATTCACAAGTATTTAGTTCATGTCAATAAAGTTAGTGTTTTACCAAATTCAAAATTATCATGAATTTTAGTTGTGTAAATTATTTGTACCTCAAGTTTTATTCCAAAATTATTAGAATGTAAAATTAAATAATAATATTAATTGTGCTGTGATGTCATTAACAATAATTTTTTAGCTATTTGTGAATTTAATTTTAGCACTTTTAAATTTAGTTTGTTGAATTTTCTAATAGTTACTAAAAAACACTGTCTCTTTTAAGTCATACTTAATCAATGTGTATACATTATATATATATATTATTATTAAAATACATTTTTTTTTTTTTTGTTATACCTGTGGAATATTTTTAATTAATTTATAGTTGAAATTTTTGTTTAGCACTATTTAATATAATTACAATATAAGTTATTTATCTGAGTATACTATAAAATAATTTGAAAATATTTATACTTTTTTCTTTGATACAAATATACATAATTAATTTATCTAATAACCTTTATGTTAAACTTGATTTAATTTATCATTTGAAAATTTGAGGTTCAATTTTTTTTTTTATTATAAAAAATTACATTATGTTGTCCTCCCATAAAGAGTATTTTAATGGATTTCACTGCTGTATAGGTATACTGATATTCTTAAGCTCAACAAAGAGTAAATAGGTATACAACTTAAATGTTTTAACAATAAATGGGCATTACATAACCAATGTTCTAAACTTCATTTTTTATTTTAACTCAAAAATTTGCAAAGTTATTATGAATGTTATATTACACAATATAGATAATATCTACAACTATTATATATTATATTAAATCACTCTAATAATGACGAAAGTGACCATATTCTACAATTTTTATTTCAGCATAATTATATTAAATATAATCACAAATGTTGTGTTTGTAATTGAATGTATCAGTTAATTTTGTTTTTAATTATTTTATACTTAAGTAAAGACTCAAGTTTAATCATATCTACTAATAAAATGTTAAACATTTGTTATACTCAATTTGGTATTCATTATATTTAATTGTTACATTTATTTTATTCTTGGATTAGAATAATTATTTTTAATGTAACTAAAATATAAATTAATTTTTGATAAATGTTAATCAACGAACATTTTTATCTAATACAAATAATATTTACCATTATTATTCTCTTCCAACTTGTATAAAAATTTATATTTTGCATAACAATGTTAAATCATAACTGTACATATAATCTAACATTTAACATTTTAACTATTATGTACCATTGCATTGCAAAACAATTAATTGTATTAATTAAAAAGTTTTAAAATGAAAATATTTTGTGTATCAAACATTTGAATTTCAAATACTTTTAAAATAAAAATATATCTATTGAATGGACCAGTTAAACTACAAGTGTTAACAGAAAATATGACTTGATGGATGGAGTAATTATTCTTCTATTCAAAATTGTGTAAATACATTTAAAAAATAAAAAGCCATGCATATAATCTGAACTTAAATTAAATTAAGATGTATTTCTCCATAAAGTAGCAAATACTGTTACTCGTGTTTGATGAGGATATTGTATTAAAACTATAATTGACAAATTAACTACAAGGTACAGGAAACTTAAATGACTATTTAAAATGAATCAATATGCATTGATATTTTATATGTATGGAAATCTTTTATGTACCATCTACTTTAACATTATGACAATCACAAAGTAGAAAAAAATTATCAACCGCTTTTCTTTAAATTCGTTGTAAAAAATTGAAAAGAAAATAGTATTTTGAGCATAAGTTCCGAGTTTATTTATTCCTTGGCTTCCTACAAAAAAATAGAACGGGAGCTTAGGACATTGGCGTCATTTCAGTTTTATCTAGAGTAGGGTAGTCGGCATGCTTTTATTAAATTACCGACTCGGGGGATTATTTTACCAAAGTACCAACTAACGTGGGAGGAGAAAGACGTCAAAAAAGTACAAAAATATAATGGTTTGTATTTTGTATATAAGTACCCGTATAGTAGACGGCTCATTTTTATGTTTACAATTCCTCGATAGCTTTAAAAAAGGCAAATTTATATTTTGATGATGTGCCGACTTTGGAATAATTAAACTATTGTCTATAGTAAATGTAAGAGTAGCAACCCTCCCCCTCCTCCCTCCCAAATGACGCCACTGGCTCCGAACCATTGATCACTTCCCCAATGCGAACACTAAATTTACTTTCGCAATAAATGAAACGGCCAATAAAACAGTAATCGATAACGGAGAAGACCTAAACAAATTTAACTTTAACTGTATTGTTCCCTAAGTATTATTTTATTGATAATCGATTTAGCGGCTGTAATAAAAACTCACATCTGTGTGCTTACTGAATGATGATAATTAGTGCCCGAAATTGTATGCATCTGCATATTTTTATTTACCTATTAAACTAAAAAGTAGCTAGGTAAGACAGACATTTGAATCTTAATCTAATGTGTTGCTATGCAAAATTTAATTTGGCATATTTTTGCATACTTGGAACATTTCAAATTATTACGTATATTTTAGCATTTTTAGAAATATAATGCATACATAGAAAAAAAATATTACGAAGTTATTAATATTATTATTTATTACTTAGCGCATGTCCATCATAAATTCCGTGAATCGTGCAGTTATATAATTTAATTTTTGTGTTGTAATAAGAAAAGATAAAGTTTTTCTAAAAGTACCAATACGATAGTAACTCTCCAGGTAACTTTAAAAATATTATAAAAATTCGCTTGATTTGTTTAAAGCGATTTTCGTTTGTGACTTTTTGTTTAGATAAGTGAGGGTTAAAAATACAATTTAATTTCAAAACAGTTCAATAAAATATATAAAATATAGTTGATATATTTTAATGTATATTTTTTGTTGAATATTAATTATTTAATGAATTGTATACATTTTAAAATTAAATAAATTTGATAAATAAAAAAATTCATTTTTGTTAGCATATTTCCGCATATTTTGAGTGCATATTTGAATGATAACCACCGCATAAATGCATGCATATTTTGTACGTTTTTAATGCATATAATTCCGGACCCTAAAGATAATAATAACTGATAAGAATGTGTGATAATAATATTATCCGCGGCCGGTTGCAGCTGTTACTGTTTATACTTCGTGCCGAGTTGATCAAAAACGGGAAAATTCTTCTGACGCTCCTGATAAACAGAGGAAAAACAGAACGGTCTCGAATATTGTACTCTACGCATTTCACAGTCAATAGTTTCAGACGTCATGGATCCGAACAACGTCATTTTGTACTATCTAAACAGAAGACAACTTGGTTACGAGGGTAATACACGTTTTTATCTCTGCTATTTATGCTGTCCGAATCGAAATCTGTGTTCCCTCAGCGGTTTTCCTTGCTTCTCGCCCAAACTACGACATGGTTTTTTTGTTCACTCCCATTAGCTCTACTCCACTCAACCGATATCCATTTTTTTGTTTTTCTAACTGATTACGACACATTATAATTGTTTATAAGACTCAACTCTACTGTTAATTATGCCTCAAATTCTATGTATCAAAATATAATGAACAACTGTTTGTCTGAGTATGACTTACCGAAGTTTTCTATCCCACTGTTCTTCTAACACAACAGTTTGTAAACATTATTTTGTTGTATGGCAAATGCCATGAGATCTACATCTGCAGCATCTTAAGAAGTTTCTAAGAGCAAAGGTTTTAAAAGATTATAATAATATAAATTACGATAATTATGCAATATGAATTCATTATATATATTTAATTTAATGCTAGTAGATCAGGCTTTCTAGTGACTAACTATTTTCACTATATATTCATATTTTTCAATCAACTCAACTTTTTTTACTATATCCTTAAGTTCCTCACTATCTTATCTAGAAAATTCTAGTTATCTAGAAAAAAGTTATAATCTTCTACAGTTATTTAAAATTGCTTAAATATTGAAAGCAAATATTATTCACATTCATTGACAAACTCATTCTGAATATTTTAGTGAATACGAAATGAAATGTTTTTATAATACAATGTACCTACGTAAGTTTTAATGTATTGATTGTTGACGAGCAAGACCCGTATTAATGTTATAAGTGTTCCAGTAAATGTAGCAATCCTTCACATTCATGTTATCATTAATATGATTTTTATTTTAATTTTCCATGAGTTATTATTAAGTTTCATTTATAGATGTATTATATCAATATTTGTTTACATAATGTGTGTGCCAAGTATAAGTACAGTAGGGTCTTGATAATCCCAACACAGGCTAATCCAAAAGATGTGATAATCCAGACGAACTTGAAAAATATTGCATCACTATATATATATATGTGTATCGTAATAATAGTAAATATATATTTTAAATAATAAGGTTTATATTATGTAATAAATATATTAACTGGCTGTACCTACATACATATATAATTATAATAATTTTTTGTATACATTTCCTTTTTAAATTACTAGTTTTTACATGATTAATACAGATAAAAATAAATTTCATTATTAAAATACAATAAAACTAATGTTTTATTTAAGCCATAAATAATCCGAACAAATCGGTAACCCAAATGATCCCATTCCCTAATCTTGTTCGTATTATCGAGACCTTACTATAATCTATATTTTAATTTTGCTAATACTTAAAAATGTATGCCATAATAATTTGTTACTTTATCCTTATTAAAGATGTAATTCACTTTAACTTACTATTTTAAAAAACTTACTTACTATTTTCACAATTTTTAAATACCGAAGATACTAGAAAGCCTATAGTAGATACTAGATACATTCATCTATATTAAATGTTTTCGTATGAAATTACCCAAATTATATAGTATCCCTTTAGTTATGTTCAAATAATGTTCTTGAAAACTGAAAACCTTGCTGTAAACTCAATATTTTAATATATTCTTATAGTTCTTTTACCGTAAGTTTATCTTATTGTTTTATTATAATATTATATTTGTTTTAATAGGAATTAGAAATAATGTCAAAGAAATTGTTATTGATCAAATGGGCCACAAATATTCAAGCAAGGGACACAATATTTCTATTGGGAATACATTTGCCTGCAAATTTAGCAGAAATAAAAATAACTTACACTTGCTCGGTTGCTCAACAGAACATGGTGAAATAATCATTCAACCAACTTTAACTGATAATCAGATTGTACAAGGGCCAATTACACGAAGTTAGTCAACAATGTTAATTAAATCTTAATTTTTTATTATTTTACTGATTTTAATTTGAAATGTTTGAATTTTGAATTTGAATGATTTAAATTTTATTTCTGTATAATAATATCTAAAATGCTAGTATAAGTAATATATATTTATATATTAAGTAATTTATAAAAATTAATTTTACTTTTTTCATAGAGAATTAAAATGTTACTGTTAAATTAACAAAATTTATATTTGTCAAATACAAAACTTATTGAACCAATTATGATTTATTGGAAATTTTCCCAGTGTACTACAAGAGACTAAAATTAATTATTATAATATTTCCAATTGTTATCATTATATACTTAATTTGGAAAAATGTTATATAACAATTTAACCTACGTAGTAATACCATAAAAATAAATTAACATACTATAAAGATAATTATTATCCTATACATTTTAAAATGTATTTCACATTTCTATACCTTGTTAATTTTTATTTACTATATGTTTTCTAAATTAGATGCTGTACATAACAATGCTATTTTTAACTTCGCATGGGCAGAACCAGAAATGAAAATAGTAACTGCCTGTGGAGATCAAACATCAAAATTATTTTCAGTAACTCCATCAGGAAATCTTGTAGAAATAAAAGTGTTTCCACATAACTCATCAGTTAAAAGTGTTATGTTTTGTCCAGGATCTTCTAGTATGTATAAATGTCCAATATATAGTTATTTTTAATTTGTATGCGTAGTGAATCTATAACTATTAATCGGCAAAATAATTAAAATTTATAATAAATGTATAGTTTAGTTTTATTATATACCATTTAAAAATAATAATTGCTTTATTTTTTTGTTTAGATGTATTTTGTGGTGGAGCTATTGATGGTTCTATTAAAGTTTGGGATGCACGTATGAATCATAATCCAAATGCTTTAGAGTTTGATCGCAAAATACCTAATTCACATGGTAAATATAGTTTTATAGTCTGATTGATTTTGTTTCCAATGTAACCTATTTTCTGTTTGGTAGTTATATAAAATCTAATCTTATTTTTTCATTTCTTTACACAGACATACACACTACACATGTATTATATATAATTTATAATTTTATTTTATGTTTTCCTTATTATTGAAAATTGGAAAATTTATGTTACTGTACTGTTAACATTTTTTTATTTATATTCTTTTCTTTTTTCGTTTGCCTTTTTCCCAATTATTTGGGCTCAGCTAACCTTGTCCTAAACTTCCATGTGTCTTTTTATTTATATCCATTATTTTATTATTAATAACTAATCATTTTTCTTTTTCAATTTATATTACAGCTATCTATGGTCTTAAAAAGAGAAAACCAATTAAAGTATTTGGAATTTCTGCTCTGTTATTCATGAATGAACAAACAGTTATATCTAGTTCCTTATTAGATGGGTAAATATATTAATTATAAAATATCAGTTTAATTTTCTGTTCATGAATACAATACCATGAAAATATTTATCAAAGTTATTATTTTTAGTATTATTAAGGTATGGGACTTGCGTAAATCATACCGCAACGTAAAAATATTTGGTGAACCTTTACCACGCATGAGATATTATCATAAACAAAAACCTAAAACAATTTTTGTTGGTTTTATGGACATGATAACTAATCCTCAATTAACTCGTTTGTATGCAAGTGGTGTGAATAATATGGTCTATAGTTACGCATTGGATTCTACAGAGAGCAGTATAAATATTTATTTCATTAATAATTTTAATAATAATAAGTGTTAATAGATTACTATTTGAGATATGCATTTTTAACTATTGCGCATGAAACAATTTGTTTATTTATTCGAAATTGATACTTTTGTAGTTATCTAGCATGGCTTATTAAATATTTTCGTTATACTTTTATAGAGTATAGAAAATTATTTTTGTACTTCTATAAAAACATTTTAATTTTAATAGTTAAATTTATGAACGAAAAATATTTAATACAACCATTTTTTTTTTTTTTTTTTATAAGTATTTCTTTATAATATAAAAAAATTTTTTCTTAAAATTTTTATTTGTAGATGCTCTATGCCAATACTCTGGTTATTCCTATGAAACTAACTATTCCAAAATAAGTATTAGTAATGATGGACGTTATCTATTTAGTGGATGTAATTATAATTCAGGTGTTATATGGAACACAGATTTTCCACATACTGAAAAACCCGTAATAAATATGATCACTAAAGACCCTATAAAGAAAGAACTAAGTAGTTCTGATTGGTGTGCAGATCCAGCTTGTATGAAAGTTAGTTTTATTTTATTTATTAGTACTAATTGATCAATGCAGTTCATGTTTTTAATAAAATAATTAAATGTGGTATTAATTTACTTATTATTCTTATTTGTAATCTTGTATTTTGTAAATTTTTATATTATGAATGATAAAATTAAATTTAAAAAAATTATATTATAAATAATTATAATTATAATAGTAAGGTTCGAGTTATTTTTAATTTTTTGTAAGGATTATTTTATCTTATGCAATTTTCAAATAAATTGTAATAATTTTTATTCAATATTAAGGAAACTTATTCTAAACTTATAAATAATAAATAAATTAATACTCATTTGACTGAAAAAATGTAAACTTCATTTGAACCGAATACTTAGGCTTATATTAAAAATAATATTTTATATTTATATTTAAGTTGGCAACTAGTTCTGATTCATTACCAAATATATGGACAATCCATCCATCTGTTGAAAATAATGAGAATATGGAAACAAAAATAATAAGAACTGCATCACATAAATATAAATTTCCTCCAAGAGTGTATACTGCTCCAATCAAACTTGATGCTTTACTCAAAGAAAAATATGAAAAAGAAACAGGTCAGTAAACAAAAATAGATCAATTTACCTAAGTATAATACATTTAATTTATATTTTAAAGTTCATTCTATAAAATTCTTTTTATCTTATTAAAGTATAAAAATATATTTAATATTGAATAATTCTACTCGTAAATTACAGAGGAAGACATGGAAAATTGGGACACTATGACTCAAAATAATGTACAAAATGTTTGTAATTTACCAGTTACTCCTAAAAAACCATGGAAAGTTATGTTTTCAAAAAAAACATCACCACAGCGAAAAACTAAATCCAAACAGTCTTCACCGGTTACACCAACTTCAAATAGAAAAAGAAAGAAGAGTAGTGTATCACCTAAAAATTTAATTGATCATTATTTTCCATTGAATAACAAACGGAAAAAATTAAATCCTGTAAATGAAAATGAGTAATTTATAATAAGTATGACAAAGACTATATTATTATTATATAGACTGATTAAACTTGTTTCAAATGCTGTTACATTTTTTTAAGGATAATTTAAGTAACCTTAAACTATATTTATTCTGATACTCATAAATTCATTTTTTCTTAAAATACTATATTATTAGTACATTTTTATGTTTAATATTAGTTTATTAAATTTATTTTGATTTAATTAAATAAGAGATTTTATTTAAACAAACTAGCTTAGAGAATTTAAATCTTTTATAAAATATTATACATACATATTCAAATATAATACATCTAGTTTATAATATGTACAAAGTTTCACTGGTATAATATTTATTTATTTTTTTTTAAACCATTGTTTAAATAATTTTTACTTTTTAAGAAGTCTAATTTTTATGATTTAAGTCTATTAAATAAGAACTATTGTAATATAAATTATATAGTTTAGACTTTTTCTTCTTAAAAATAATTAGTTAAATTTTAAATTACTGTAGCTTATATTACTATAAATACCCATAGTATTTAAAAGACATTATTTGCGTAAATAAACTTTTTAAGGTTTATAATATATACAAAGTTTTACTGATATAATATTTATTATTATTTTTTTTTTTTTTTTTAATTATTGTTTAAATATTTATTTACTTTTTAAGTAGTATAAATTTTATGATTTAAGTTTATTGAATAAGAACTATTGTAATATAAATTATATAGTTCAGATTTTTTCTTCTTGAAAGTAATTACATTTGGTTTTCAATTACTGTAACTCATATTACTCTAAATATACATAATATTTAAAAGACATTATATGTGTAAATAAACTTTTTAATGTAAATAGTGAGTTATAATATACCAAGCCTGGGCATAAATGAGTTAAAAAGTTAAAGTTAATTTTTACTTTTTAACTTAACTTTTTTGCTTCAATTTTCATCAACTTAATTTTTAACTTAACTTATTTTAATTGATATAAACTTAATAAATAATTAGTTACTTTTAATCAAATTTAAGTTAAGTCAATTTATAAATAATTAAATAAAAAATATAATAAAATTATTATTAATGATGCATATTACATAACCATTTACTAGAATAGGAAATTATAAATATAGTTAAATTTAACCAGAATTATTCAATAAATAAATACTTCATTAAATACATATAGTAATAGCTTTTTAGCCAATAGGTATATACTATATTAAAATATATTGATGTATCATGTATATAAAGATACATCATACCATACTGCCGCATACGGGCATATTATAATAATAATAATAATAATTAATAAATACTAATAAGTACTATGATATATTATTATATTCATATAGAAACAAATTACAAATGTACAATTCTCAAGAACATATTATAAAATATTTTCGTCCTAAATAAATAATTTTTAGATTAAAACCAATTAAGTTATGCTTTAGATTTTTAGTTCCCTGAAAAAGTATTCAGAGTTTAAAATTAAGTACATTCTTCAATACCATGTTATTTTTATTTAATAATTTAAAATGAATGTATAATACTTATCTATCTGTATTAATAAATCAAAAGATTATATTTATTTTGGCTTTTTGTATACTTTTGTACCTACTTTACATAATTTTATTCATCAGTACCTAATAATTTAGTTCTATTTATAGAAAAACTATTGGCTATTTCCTGTGCTCAATAATATTTTTGATTTTTATTATTCTCAGCCATATTACAGAGTATTTATATAAATGTTAAAAAATAAATAACTCAATTTAATAAGTTTTTTATTTTTTTAACATTTATCATTGATAAACACTATCTGTAATTATTACTTTACAATAAACGTATGTAATGAAATAAGAAAATATGGCTAGAGTGACAGGAGATAAGAAGTCAGCCATTGAAAGCACTTAAGGACAAGAATTCATTTTTATTGTGCCAGGAAGAGAAAATGAGCTTGAGTAAGAGAAAGAAGGGAAAGTATATACATTTAATTTAGTAGATCATCATACCAGGTACGTTTAAGACGCCTTCTGGGGTCACCAGGAATAAGAAGTTAATAAGTTAATTTAAAATGTTCATATAACTTTTAATTTAACTTAGTTAAAAAAAATTAAGTTAACTGTTAACTTTAAACTTTTTTAAAATGTTTTCCACTAACCTAACTCAGTTAATAATTATTATTAACTTGCTCAGGCTTGTATTATACTAACTTAATTTGCTGGAAAAAAAAATTTACCAGTTCCAAAATCGAATAACAAAGAGTATTTTTGTTATTTAACAGTACTTACACTGACTGTTTTGCTCATTCAATAGTAAAACTATATGAATTTTCTCAAGTTAATACGGCTGGCATTAATTATTTTGTACTATGTTCAAGCAGAGCAACATGTAGAGGCAGAGCTAGGTGGTGGAAGACGGGTATTCATCCCTGGACGTAAAATTTTAGAGGGTGTAATTTTTGTAATTATTAACAACTAATTTGATATTTTTATTTTTGTTAAATACTGATATTAGTTTAAAACTCAACAAGTACGATTGTATATTAATTATTAGAAAAAAATTCTTGTGAAAAGTACTAGATTATTGGTCTGATAGAGCGTAATTTTAACATTTTCCCCGGGCGTAAAAATTCATAGTTCCACCTTTGACAACATGTCAACTGAATTTTTTTTATCACCGAGAAAAATTGGTCTATGCATTGATTACATTATTCAAGTACACTAGTAGAGAATAATTTTCATTTTTGAATGATTTTGTATATTTTATTATTTCAAATAACTTATTGCTTATTTATAACAAATAAAAAACCTCAAAGTTTTTTATCTTCTAATTTAATAATTAATAATTAATAAGGTATGAAAATATATAATTTTTGTGTTATACAGATTTTTAGTTAACCTATTTCGGACGACCTTCTTGATATGTATAAGAGATTTTTAAGAAACTAAATACTATAGTTAGATAAAGTACGCAGAACGTTTTCAAGTTAATGCTAAGATCACAGTTAAATATTAGGGGGGAGCACTAGAAAAAGTGTTTTACACCTTTAATCCGATACCCTGGCTACGAACCCGTTACAACGTTCCTGGTGTACAGAAAAAGAGGATGAACAATTAAAATTTGAATGTTGTTTAAATAACAGAGAATTTTTAGTTAGCTGACATCGAATCCGTAATACGCGGATTACTATCAAATTCGTTTCGACGTGTACTTTGAACGGCAGAGGCCGCCACTTGTATAACCGGTACATTTAGTTATTTTTTTCTCGCCTCGGCCTCGGTCCTTCGTTACCGACCAGCCGCGCCGAGATTTTCACTTTATCATCTCTCCGATTGTGTTGCATGTGTGCTTGTGTATGAGGTACACACACATATATATATATACGCGCGACCACAAATGCACTCACACACACACACACACATATATATGTACTAAACATTAAAACCCCGTCACCGTCTGTCGGTCGGTTTCTCCCTCACGCCCACTCTTTCTCTCTCTTTCTTTCTCTCTTACCATATACTCTCTCACGCGCACACATCGTCACTTCTCTCTGTCACGCTATTATTATTATTATTATTATTATTATTATTATTATTATTATTATTATTATTATTATTATTACTATTATTGTTTTTATTTTTTATTTTGTTGCTGCTGCTGCTGCTGTCGCTCGTGTTATATTGTTAATGTAATTAAATTGCTCGTTTCCATCGTTTCGCAATCATTTCAGTCGGTTCGGATCACGCGTGCGCCCGCGTCCGCTTGTTTATCATGTTCATCAATCCGGTCATCACGACGTACTAGTGACAAACTAGAGAAAACGTCGTGTGTTTACGCGCCGATGGACCACATCTTCCGCGGAGTTGTATCGATGCAGCCAGGCCACATCAACGACGACGGTGTGTATAAAAAATTCGGTTTTGAAATTGAATCACACGACGGACGTTACTACGGAACGTCGTGAAAACGCTGTGCTCATTCGTTTTACACTACTGGCCAGAGGACGTAAACGGTGCACATGACGTTTCTAGATGCCCTCCAGTGTTAGATGGAGGGAACATTCTGAGTGTCCTTGTTTTACATCAAGGCCCTTAAGGTTGCAGTCAAAGAAACTCTCAATCAACTCTTTCAGCAATAGATTATCTACCAATTCAATTATGATAGTTTGATGGTATTGAAAACTCAGAGATTGATTGGACAGAGTCCAAAAATAACATTCTGAACAATTTAACAGGCAACTCTACTGTCTTGTAAAATAACGAGTAGTTGTCAGTGTTTTAATCCTTTTAGTGGGTTGAAATTGTATGATTTCAGGGGGCAACATAAATACTTTCAAACTTTCTTATTTGGTTGAGATTTTAATCAAATTTATGTTTGAAACAAATTCATTGATTATATTAATTTAATAATTTTTCTAATTTTTCTGTTTAATTATTGAATTCTAGTAGAGATTGTTTAATGTGAAGTGAAACCAGTTTAAGTAATCATTATGCTATGCAGATTTAAACAAAATATAAATTAGTTCTTTATATATAATATTACAATTTAAATGAGCATATTAAATTAATAACCTAAATACATACAAGTTAATTTAATATCAAATGTTACTATTTATTGGTGAAGGATTTGTGTATATTTCTATTCACATATTTCAAATTTATTTTTCATAGAAGTAAACTTCCCAAAATTAATTTTATACTTTGGCATCTAATATTGGTTTTATAGATGAATAATTTTCAATTGTTTTTATTTTTTATTGTAAATACAAAGAGTTTAATAGTTTTATATTATTATCATACAAATAATATAACTGTGATAATAAATTAATTGTTATTTTTTTAATATATAGCCATAGAATTATGATTGATGGTAGATTAGGAAGAAAATTAACCTGGGAAAATTACAATTTAAATTTTTTTAAACAGTATCATAACTTACTGACTAATAATGAACAATGATGATAAACTATTGAAGCATACCATAATTATCATCCGTCTAAAGAATACTAAATAAATATTGGTATAACCTAATGATTATATTATTATTAGTGATTTATATAAATTTACCTTTTTAAATCATTTTTTTTATATTCTTGATGTAAATATAGTAGACAGTTTAAGGTTCGATATTATCACAT